GAAGACGTAAGGCACCAGGAGGAGGGGAAGGAGGTCCAACACCAGCTAGACCGGCTCGCACCCCAGGAACAACCAGACGATCGTCAAAGAAAACTAAGAATAGTCTGATGACAATGACGGAGCCACGCCCAGCCTCAAAGGGACGCAGTAAAGGACAAGGGAATGTAACATCTTTTCGGCTCTCACCAATAAAGACCACTCCCCCTCCTCTTGCTTTTGATACTGGTGATGATGATGAAGGGGGTATGGCTAATGAGGAGTCTGCTAATGGAGAGGAGGTTGTGGAAAATGGAGGCACTGCTGGAGAGGAATGTGAGGTTGAAGAGAGAGTAATACTCGATCATCAGGTAGAATGTGAAGTTGATTCTATTGATCAGGGAAAGCCTGATACTGATCATGATTCTGATCAGAGGATTGATACTAATGATATTGATGGTGATCAACTTATCAGATCAGCTGATTCTGATCACAAAGCGGATTCTGATTCCATTTCTGATCGCTCAATTGATCAAGATCAAAGAGAGTCAGTGAGTTTTGAATATTCTCAACAGACGAGGTTAGAGAATTATTGGTATTATTATTATTTATTTTTATTTATGTATTTTTAAAACTGCGTGTACATGTACATGTAGTGCTAATGATGAACTGAAGTCAAAACTATCAGAGGAACTGCAGAAAATGAAAAAAGTGAATTAATTATAGCTTTATTTATTATTATTATTATTATTACATGGCCAGATGAAAGGGTATTACGAGAGGAATACAGAGAGATTTCCCGTGGAAGGGCTGAAATCGGTAGCAAAACTTCTGAAACTTAAAAAGTAATGATGCTTAACTCAGTGCGTTAAGAGTGTGTCAGAATATCATTGTCAGTCTATTGCAGAGCGTGTTTATGCTGTGTTAGTGATACTTTGTTTATATAGGAAGAAAGCTTTGGCAGTGCAAAATAAGAAAGTGATAATTAATAAAATAAAGAGAAAGGAAAGGACACCTGCCACAGTCAAGTACTTACACTTACATTAGTATGAACCTGGGTTTTGTTTTTTGGCATAGTATAACTTGTCGGCAAATTCTTAAAGTTACACAAAAATTGAGCCAGAGAAAATTTGTCATTTTTATATTTTTTCCTGATACATATACATGTTCTGATGTTGTGTAGCAAGTTTGAGCTGATTCTGATCAAATTTGAATTTTTTATAATTTTTTTAATTTGCTCCAAAATCGGGCCAAAGTCCCTGTACTGTAATACAGGTTATCCCCAATTTTTGTTACATTTAATGTACTTTTTCTCAGCTCTCACATCAGGAAGGGCAGTAAGCTGAAGGTTTTGTTGTCATCCAAAGACGAAGAGGATTCAAGAATTACTGCGGCTCAACAATTTAGGAATGATAGACTGTACAACAATTCACAGTACCAGAGAGAATCAGGTAAAGAAAACGTGAAAGAAATTATTTTAAAATGTTTTTTAAGGATATTACGCTTTATTAAGAAGAAACAAAATGCAAATTTAAATAAATTATTATTATTATTATTATTAATATGACTGTAATTTTTTGTTCTTTTCTGTGCAATTTAAGTACAAAAGTAATAATTAATAAAGGCTAGAGCCGAAACTAAACATTTTGCTTATATTACTTGCGTCTGTAGTGGGCGTGGTCACATCTGAAGAGGGGTGTGGCTCCGGTTGACTTGAGAGAGTGTCTTCAGAGACTATAGATGCTGACATTTCACTCAGTCGTCTTTGCTTAGCTTGTAAAGAACTAAAGGCACTCTCAATTTGAACGTCATTCTCGTCCCCCAAGCCAAGGTGGGTCAGGTAGGATGGAACAGAAGGGGCATGGCCTTCCTCTGAGTCTCCGCCCTCTTTAATGTCACCCTCCATTGACTCTTGTAATTCCTTAGGTATGGAGAGGGTAGACATTTTTATCTCTCCAAATGCTTGGGTCTCATTTGGAATAGGAGAATCTGGCACCTGCTGACGACTTCCAAATAAGGATATGTTCTCGGCATCTTTGGGCGGAGTCCCGAACAGTTCGTGAGGTGGGAGTGGTTTGTCTAATACGGCTGTTTTCTGTAGGAGGGACGGGAGGTGTCTTTCATCTTTTCTTTTATCCTCTGCAGGTCCCTCGTGCTGTTTCTTAAGGACAGAGCTAAGAGCAGAGGAATCAGGTGACATTCTTCCTCCTCCACTCGTTTTTGGTTTTATCTTTAAATGAGAGTATTTCTCTCTCGGGTTAACTAATCTAACAGTTTCAGTTTTAGCAGAGGTGCTCCCCGAGCTACCCCAAACTGACGAGGCTGATGTGGGTGGAGCTGACACGCCTCCCCTTGCTCTGGTCTCTGGCAAACTCTGAGAAGCTGATGATGAAAAGTTTTCAGACGAACGAGAGGAAGGAGCTAGAGGAGGAGGACCAGGGTTAGTAGCATCAGGACGAGAAGTAGGCGGGGACTGATGGAGTGGCTGTGGGCGTGGCGGGGATTTAGCTGATCTTGAGAACCGAGGATCGCTAGCAGACCTGGGGTCCGGTGCTGTTTCACTAATAATCCCAGACCCAACCACGTGAGGAGGTGGTGCAAATCTATGCTGAGGAGACGGGCCTAATAAAGGAGGCGTTTGGTCAACAGGGGGGTGTGGTCCAGGATAAAAAGGCGGAGCAAGATTTGGCGGACCTCTTATGATTATGGGATGGTGCGGGTGAAAGGAACGAGGGGGAGGTACACTGTGACGAATGAGTACCAGACCCGGTGGAGGGGGCATGAACCCTGGCCTGGGGCCGACCGGCATTAAAGCAGGTGGTGCAGGTTGGTCTAATAATGGGCGAGTATGATCAGTAAAGACATGCTGGGGCTGTGGGGCAGACTGGACATGGGATGATGGAGGAGAATGGAAAGGAGGAGGAGGAGGAGGGAGAGAGGAGGGAGGGAGGGAGTTAGGTGAAGGTTGCTCCTGCCCTGTATTTGAGTCCGAGGCGTCTCTGTCCTTATTTTCCCAGTACTCCAACTCAAACTCTTCATTTTCTTTCTTCTTCTCTTCTTCATTCTCTTTCTCAGTTGTTAATGGAGTGGGTAGTAACACTTTACGTAGCTGAGTTGCTAGCTCATGAGGTAGCACCTGAAACAATGGACAAGAAAATAAAGCACATTAACATGAAAAATACTTTTCATTTTTGATGAAATTTAACTAAAATCCCTGTGCTATATAGTACAGGGACTTTGGTCCAATTTTTGAGCAACTTTAAAAAAATACCTGGGGGTGTGGTTCAGGAAACAGTTCCGACACATTAAATCCAGGAGACAGTCGAACGTTGGTCTTTAATTTTTCTTCCTCGTCAAGTTTCTGTGCCCAGTGCTGACCCTCGTCCACTGGCTGGGGTACATGTACATGTACATGTACATTCCTCTCATGGGTAACATCGGTCGACCAGTGTCCATCAACTGGTGGTGGATTATGGTACGATGGTCCATAAGGCCCTGGAGGTAAATCCAAAGGATTAGGTGCTCTGGATTCAGGTCCTTCAAATGGAATGGGTGTGGCAGTGGGTGGAGCCAAAGGATGAGGAGGAGGGGGAGGGTAACGAACAAAATCTCTCATATTTGGTTCAATGACCTACAGATACATGTATAGAGGTCATGTGGTAATCACATGATGCTTTACTTACGCTCATTAGTATGTCATAGGTCTCTTGGGTAAGAGGGGCGTGGGAGAACTTGCACTTGTCTCCATGGTAACACATGTGGCGGGTGTGAAAGTACCGACATGGGAAACCACCTGAAATAAAAATGGATTTTAATATTATCATTACTTTTTTATTTGTCTATTTATTTTTTGTTTTATTACCATGGTAAAAGAGACAGTCGTCTCCTTTGTCGCAAGCGTCTTGTAAAAAGAACTTGCACATCTCTCTCTTCTTCTCTCTCTTGACAGCATGACTGTACATGCAATTGTCTTTCTAGAAACGTCAAAGAAAGAGTTCGTATTATGATACTAAGGATCCCATTTCACTAATTTCCATGCCCAGTGCCCAGTGCATTTTATTAATTCTTCCGGTCTCCCCTCATTCTCTCTCATTCAACACTTACATGAATACAGTGACCATTGAGGAAGTACTTGCAGGGTATTTTAGCAGCTGGGTTAGTGGGCGGCTGTGGCTCCTGTTGATCTGCTGGTACATGTTGTACATGTACGTTCTCGGGACTCTCGTTTGGGTTCTCTCCTCCTACTTTGCCGTTATCCTTCTCTTTCCTCTTTCGCGGTATTTTCATTTTCGATATATTTTTCTTCAACATTTGGGAATCCTAGAATAAAATAAATAAAATGAATAAACAAACAAACAATATACATGTATCTTACATCTTTTTTTTTCTCCAATTCTAGTACATGTACACCCTCATCAACAGTTTGCTCTCCAACGATTGCCGTTAAACTACCAGTACTCTCAGGGCCCCCACTATTGAGTCTTGGTCTTTTATCTCCCTGTAGCAGTGGAAACTCTTCATCCAAAGGACTGCTAGTCGTATCAGACTTTGTCCCAGTCCCTCCTCCTTTTGACGGGCTAGTATCGATCCAAAAATCAGCAGCTGCTGCTTTAAAGTCAAACCCGCCATTATTCTCATCCTCTCCCACCTCCTCCTCCTCCTCCTCGTTGTTCAACTGGTCAAGATAATCGTCATAATTAAACCCGGTGTCCTCGCTATCGACCAGTCGACCGCTGTCCATCTGCAGTCTTGACAGTTTAATGGACACTAAGAGAGGACTGCTGGTCTTGTTTGTGCTAGTTCTTAAATTTCTTTTTCTTACAGCCGGAGACGACGACTTTCTACCACCTCTTCTCTTTCCTTTGGTAATGGATGCTACTGTCGGTACTTCTCTTCTTACAGTTAATTGGAGAAGCTGTGAGTTTTCATCTTCCCTACTCTCTTTCTCTGCCTCTACTAAAGACAAAGCTGCTGGAGGCCCTGGTACAATGTCTTGAGAAGTTACTAAGTTTCCTCCTCCTCCTCCTCCTCTTTCACTTGTCTTGAGCTGATGGTCAGGCCCAACCTCTTGAGGGGACATTGAGAGAGACGTGTTGACTATTGGAGACACTCGTGTTTCCATGGAAACAGGTGTCGTTGCTGTGCTAACCAATGGAGTAGAATTGAAAGTATCAGTAGAAGAGGAGGAGGAGGAGGGGCTGGTTTCAAGGAGTGTCTGTTGGATTGGCTGGTGACTGATAGGAGGAGGCGTATCAGATGATACTGGATTGACCTGTTTGACGGGTGATACCTCTAGTTCATCATTAACAGTGTACCCCACAGGTTCCTCTTCAGTATTAGAGGCACTATTACTGCTACTGATTGTGTCTTCAAATTTCTTCTGATATGCTTTATTTTTATGAAAAGCAGATACTGATTTCAGGTACCATTGGGGCGGGGCAGGATAGTTCATTTCGTCTAGGCTGATTTGATTGGTTTTTGGAGTCGGAAGTAACGCCAGATTTCTGCTGATTCGACTTTCAATTGTCTCAAGAGTCAAGGAGGGACTGTAATCACTCCATTTCTTGTCACCATGGTAACGGTCGTGTCGTATGGGTGTGCCCACAAGGTCACTGGCCCGGTTGTTCCCCCTCTCTCTTCTCTCGTTCTCATGTTGTGTCCACCGTCGGTTATGGTGGCGATAACGGCCACCTTCACGAGACCGGTAGGAAGTATGATTTTCTCTGTCGCCATAGTGACCATATGTGTCCTGCGAGAAAGGCGAGGAAGTGTTTCTGTCACTAAAAAAAAAGAAAATATAAAATATTCTCCTCTTATAGGGTAAGTCTTATTACTTCTTTGGTTTGACTAGTTGTGGGTAGTATGCTGCCTCTTCATCGTCTGAGAATATTTCTCCTTCTTCTCCGTCAGATCCACCACTTCTAGCGCCTTCCTTGTCTCTCTTTGGCCTCTAGCAGCAACAAAAACAAATTGATTAATATCAAAAAAAAAATATGACAAAAGATCCCCTCTTCTTATTATCATTACATATTAGGTCAAGAATTCAAAACTATTGCGGAGGCACACATCATTACTTCTCAATAATTCCTTTGATGTCACTGAACTCCAAAGTCATTTCCAGTGTACATTTTATACTTCACAATTTAGACGTACCCGTACACAAGCAAGCATGCATGGACAATATGCGTGTGCTTTCATTATTATTAGGGAGTTCATAGCAGCTGTCTTGCATTGCAGGCCATAATCTGCTAATTGTGTTGTGATGACTAAACATGCAAGGAAAGCAATGGACTGTGTGGCTATTTTTAGTAACAGCCCAGTATATTTTTAGTAACAGCCTAGTCTATTTTTAGTAACAGCCAGAAATGAAAGAATTATCGGAATGTGCTCAAGTGCCCACACAACTTGATTTGGTAAATTAACACCTAGCTTTTGAAATCAATGCATGTACACACGTATAAAAATAATAATTATAAATATTCTATTTTACTTTATATAGTTACCTTTGTTGGAGGTGATGTAGGCGTGTCTCTATTATCTTTCTCTTCGTCATTATCGCCTTCTGTTGACTCAAACGGTCGTTTTAAAGAACTCTCTCCACCAGTTCTTATTGTATCTACCCCTGGCTCTACAGTATCTGGCTTATCAATTTCATCTTGTTTTATTTCTTGACTTTCATCTTCACTTGACGGCAATTCCCCATCCTCTAGGTCCTCCTCCGACCCCGAAGCCATTTTTGGCACAAACCACAAATGCACTGATCTACTTTCAAGGCCAAAACCTCACCACTTGCCAAAACACCTTTAAACTACAATAATACACTGGCCTCTTGTGCAGTGGGTGTGAGAGATCAAGTACAATATGTGTGACTGTTACTTTACCGTAGGCCTGGTTTTTAAAACTAAACCAAGGCCTTATTGTCTCCTTGAAGGTTTTCTGGACTCTAGCCCGTTCCAAGTGGTAATTTGGCACTACAGACACTCACGGCTTAGTGCTTAATAGAAAGTGTGTGGTTTTGGGGTGAGGAGGGAGGGTAGGATAACAACTAGTCTGCGTTAACTTTGTTATAAAAGTTTTAAATGTTGCCTTTGCCTCTCTCCTCTTTCCATCTTCATTTGTGTGAACAGAACACAATGAGAAGGAAGGATAAGTGGAGGAAGGGGCGCGGTTGTACTCAACTGCGCATGCGCTCTGTCATTAATTAACTATTAAATAAGGCGTGGTTTATATAAAGCAAACAAAATGGCGGCAGCAAGTTCCAAAAAAATAAGAGTTAACTTTCAAAAACAATAATAATAACAATTATGCATATTTTGATTATTGTGGTGGAACAAACACTCTGTCTAATACATATATATTGTGAGGTGTAACTCAATTACATAATAATAATAATCAATAATAATAATAGTTAAAAACCAGGATCAAATCTGGGCCTTTCAGAGGATGGCACAAGGATTCTTTGGCTTAAAAGGATTATCCGATTGAGCTAACGGATTAACTAGTGGGTCCTCCATTTCATTTTCTTGAATGTAAGTAAGCAACCTGTGGGTGTGTGTGTGCATATAAAGAGAATATAGTAACTATCAAGTACCAAGAAGGCAAGAATTAACACATCCATAATTTTCAATAGTCTTCCCTTGCATACGTGTGTTATGATAATAATTATTTTGTATAATAATAAAAGTATGAATTTTAGTACTTACGCCTGTGTTGAGACGGATACTTTAGTACGATCAATCTCTGCCTGTGACCTCAGATGATCAACAAGTAGCCGAGCCTGATCCAACTGCTCGTGACGAGCCTGCATAGACATACTGAGAGAGAAAAATTCACAATAAATATCTCAATGTACACGATTTACATGATAAAGATCACAAAATTCACAAAAAAAGAGACTATTTCTTCTATTTATCTCTCCCTTACCTTTAAAATGATTTTAAAAAGCTTTGAAAACAAGAGAGCAGAGAGTGATGTGACACTACTGCAGTGATTGTTGCTGAAACTCACGTGATCAGTTGGTTATGCAAATATGTCACGCCCATGGACACACCCACTCACATTAAAAATAGACTCGTCACCCTTATAAGGTCAGGAAGTCGTTCTAAAAATAGAACAGTGATCTGCACTATTTATAGTACACAACTGTGTCTGTGAGGTGAGTGAAGAGTTGGAAAGTGTTACAAGCTAATAATAACAAGACTGACAGGAGGTGCCTTTAAACGTCAAGGACTAGAACTAGGAGAATAATGACTGAGTATAAGCTAGTGGTAGTTGGAGGTGCGTTGTAATGGAGCCATGGCCCTGAGCTTTATTATTATTATTATTATTTTGTATAAATTATATATAATTATTCTATGGTGTAAATGTATAATTATACTTTATGTCTCTCTCTTACAGCTGGTGGTGTAGGCAAGAGTGCATTGACTATACAGCTAATTCAGAATCAGTAAGACATCTTTAATACAATCATTGATCTAGTTTTATTCTCTCTCTCCCTCAGTTTTGTTGATGAGTATGACCCCACGATAGAGGACTCCTATCGCAAGCAAGTGGTCATTGATGGAGACACTTGTCTACTGGACATCCTAGATACAGCAGGACAGGAGGAATATAGGTAAATTAACTAGGATGCTTGGATTAAAAAATTTCCAAAAGTCTAATTTCAATCAGCATCATCTTGAGCTTTCTACACATGATTTAAGGGCATGTATGTATTACGTGTAGCAATAAAAATGAAAATATTCTTTATATTGATTACGAGTGACAGTGAGAATTATCAAACAAGATGCTTTTTAAGTGAAAGCGTTACTTGTGTACCACCGTCATTTAATAATAATGATAGTAAGTTATCATCATTATTGTTGGTAGTTATTGTTAGAAGGTGCTCCTGTTCCATGTTCGTGTACAATACTTTATTTTATATAATAATAATAATACAGGAGACTCCAACAGGATGTTATGGCATCAAGGGCCAAATGACATAATAAGTTTTAATATAGTTTATTAGTATCATTTTTCTCTCTCTCTCCCCCTCCCTCCTCTCTCTCCCCCCTCCCCCTCTCTCCCCTCCCCCTCTCTCTCCCCCTCCTAGTGCTATGAGAGACCAGTATATGAGAACAGGAGAGGGTTTCTTGTGTGTTTTTGCAGTCGATAATATGAAGTCCTTTGAAGATGTGGAGTCCTACAGAGCACAGATACGCCGAGTAAAAGACTCAAATGACGTTCCTATAATCTGTAAGAAGAGAGAGGGGGAGGGATTAGATGAATATATATAATGCTCTTTTTTCATCTCCTCCAGTGGTAGGTAACAAGATTGATCTACCCAGACGAGAAGTTGATCAGAAGATAGCGCAAGGTTTTGTCAAGAACCACAACATGGCAGGATACATTGAGACTTCAGCCAAAACAAGACAAGGAGTGGTAAGGACCAGAGGAAATTGCTTAATCCATATTGGCCAAAGAAATACTCTTAATGCTTTCTATCATTTTAATTATTTTATTTAATTGGACATATATGTGTGATCGCCTTACAAGTTGTGACTTATAACTATTAGATTTCTAACTTTCTCTCTCTCTCTCTCTCTCTCTCTCTGTTTAGGACGATGCTTTCTATTCTTTAGTACGAGAGATTAGACGCTATGTAAGTCATTAAAATACAATTATTCATTTATAAATTTTACACGGATTTCTCTTTTTTTGCTACTTTAGAAAGACGAGAGGTCTTCTCAGACACCGGCCGAGAAACCAAAGAAGAAGATGAAGTGCAATCTTCTGTAAGAGCATTCACCTCTGTCTCTCTCTCTTTCTCAATGTTCAGAGCTATCTTTTATGAGGTGTTGGTTAAACTGCATGGGGTACTATTGATAATGTATTAAATTTTAAAAAAGATAAAAATGTAAAACTGTTATTATTATTATTAATTATGGATTATTATTATTATTATTATTATTATTATTATTATTATTATTATGCATTATTAGTCTCAGAAATTATTTCTCTCTTTCAATCCCATTTGTTTGTAATAATTTCTGTATTCAATTTCTCTCTTTCCATTTCTTTTTCTTTTTTCCCTCTTCCTTTAATGTGTATGATCTATCATTTTGTTATTTCTCTCTCTCTCTCTGTTTCTGTTTCTGACTGTCACTGCACAATTCATAATGTATGTGTGAATAAGAAATTTGAACTTATTGATAGAGTTTTAATTCAAGTCTCATAACTAATAATTGTTTCTTCCAAGACTCACCAGACGTTTGCTTTTTATGTAGCGCTATGCATTTTATAATGTTCCAATTGGTACAAACTTATACAAAAGTACCTCTGAAATGAGGACACCTTTGTATTAAGGACAGGTAGTGTGGGCTCAATGGTGTCCTTAATAAAGAGGCTACACTGTACATGTATTAAGGACAGGTAGTGTGGGCCCAATGGTGTCCTTAATAAAGAGGCTACACTGTACATGTATTAAGGACAGGTAGTGTGGGCCCAATGGTGTCCTTAATAAAGAGGCTACACTGTACATGTATTAAGGACTGGTAGTGTGGGTCCAATTGTCTCCTTAATAAAGAGGCTACATTGTACATGTATTAAGTGGGTCCAATGGTGTCCTTAATAAAGAGGTTATACCACCATTGTCAACACCTTGGGCAGTTAAGGACAGTATGGCTGCTCTTAAGATTGATGGCCAATAGCCACTGCCCTGTTGATAATAACAGCCAAATAATAACAGCCTCCTTTAAAAGTGGCTTCACTGTGCAAATGTGTATTATCTAAGTAGATCTATTATTATAAAAAGGTTACTAACAATAATAATAATAACAATCACTTTTATTATCAAAATTTTACTAGAACAAATATCGTCCGACGAAAAACTGTATAAAGAGGAGAGCATAAGAGCCATATAGCGCCAAAGCAGCATACAGGACACCAAAATCCAGATTGCAATCAGCTCCACCACTGTAATTCACATATGCCAAAGTGGTAGCAATCATACAAATGAACATTTGTGATATTTGTAGTACAGTGATGACCTGTGCTATCTTTGAACTCAATCTCACATCGGCTGCTCTCAGAGCATAATAGGTATACATGATCGAGTGTACAGTGAAGTTGATGCTGGAGTAGTAGTGCTCCAGGGCACTTTCAATGGGACGTCCAAAAGTATAGTAGGCAAAGATCAAGACAGATGCATGGTGATACCAATGCAAGAAGCTAAGCTTGCTCTTCCTTAATACAATGAATACCGTGTCCACGAGCTCTGCTAGCTTGGAGAGACAGAACAGAAAGCCCCATAGAATGATGCCTGGGTTAGATGTGAATACATCCGTCTTGCATGTTGTGTGACTGAAGCCGTTTCGTATAATAGAGTGTACTAGATTTGGCAGCATAGAGATGCAACCTATGAACGAGAAGACTGCCAGTCCAACGTTCCAGGCAAACAACGCTTTTTTGAGCTCGTAGCGAGGCCTGTTGATCATCCACTTTCTCCCAATGAAAACTAAAGCCAGATAGACCAGTGCACCAGTCCAAGCTATGTAGAAATTGTCTCCCATCCATTTTCTTGCATTTTGTACGTTGAACTTGCTTTCTATGCCTCTCACTAGAGGGAGGTTGATAAACAGGCTGTCTACGAGGCCGCTATCAGCTGAATCCATGATAAATGCAGGCAAAAGAAAGGTTCGGTTTCAAAAGTTTGTTTTTATGTGACCTCAACTTAAGTAGCCCCTCCTAATAGCAGCACATCAGATCAGGTCAGGTGATGCAAATTAATGAGCTCCTCCCACTTTTCAAAGGTGACATTGTGCAATGTAAACAAAAAACTATGGACTACAATAGAAAAAAAAATAGAGTAGAAAATAACTTTAACTAAAGAAATAACGTCTCAAAAAATAGTGTATAAATAGCAATGCGTAAGAACCATACATTGTTATACTAAAGTAGAAGACATGCCAGTCAAACTGACAGTTGGCCCCACTCTTAACGTTGCTGTAGGCGGTAAGGGTGACAGCTAAACAGACAAACATCTGTGATATTTGGAGTACAGTGATTAATAGAGCTATCCTTGAGGGGATACGCACACCGACAGCCCTCAAGGCATAGTATGAATACATTATTGAATGGACTGTAAAGTTAATGGTAGAGAAATAGTGCTCGGAAGCACTCTCAATCGGTCGACCGTAACCATAATATGCAAAAAACAAGACCGTTAAATGATGATACCAGTGCAGGAAATTAAGATGGCTCTTGTGGAGAACTATGAAGATGGTGTCGCCAAGCTCTAGGGCTTTAGAGAGACAGAAAAGGAATATCCAGAGGCTTGTGTGGGGGCTGGAGAATGCTTCAGTCCTGCAAGTGGTGTGATTAAAGCCGTGCTTTACTAAACCATGGACTAGCTGCGGGAGCAGTGCTATAGTACCGTACATAGAGAACACAGCTAGCCCCACGTTCCAGAGGAAAAGGGTTCTCTTGAAATTGAATGGAAACCTGTCTCTCATCCACTTCCTTCCAAAGAATATGGCAACTAGATACATCACTCCTAAGGCTACGCAAAGATAGAAGGAGTCTCCGAGCCATTTACGTCCGAGTTTGTTGTTGAATCCTTGCTGTATCCTCTCCAGTAGTGGAATGTGTGCGAGAGGGTTACCCACCAGTACCAATGTGTCTTCCATGTTCGATGTACCACGTTACATACATGCGGATCACCTGATTTCAAGGACTCAGCTCCACCCAGCCAGTGAACAAAAGTGAGCTCCACCCAATTTGCAAATGAGCTCCACCCAAATTGCAAGTAGCAATGAATTATTAATTTTTCAAAAATAATTATTATGCACCCAAAAAAGGACAATAATATTGATAATTAGATGCCTAATCTTCAATGGCCTTACTGGATGTAGCGGCGAATGAAATAGTGCAGAAATAAAACAGCATAAGATCCGTACATTGCTGCAGCAAAATAAAGCGAACCAAGATGGAGTATGCAGCCTGGAACACTGTGGTAGTTCGTATAGCCAATCCAAATGATCCACAAACAGAAAAACATTTGTGCTATTTGAAGAATCGTGATTGCTTGTGCAATCTTTGAATGAAGATGAACACCAGCAGCTCTCAATGCGTAATAGGTATACATAATGGTGTGGACAAAGGCATTGCTGCTGGAGAAGTAATGCTGTAACGTTCCAGTTCGTATTTCAGTGCAAGTATAATAACAGTAGAGAAGGACAGTGATGTGATGATACCAGTGGAGGAACTGCAATGGACGCTTGCGGAGTATGATGAAAGCCGTGTCTCCCAGCTCTATTATCTTGAAGAAACAAAAAAGGAAGTTCCAAAGCTGGATGTGAGTGTCATAGAAGATATATGGAGTGCAGAGGATATAATTCATGCCATACTTTAGGTGTGCATGGATCATGTGTGGAAGGAGTGAGAGACAGACTAGGAATGAAAAGGCTGCAAGGGCCACGTTCCAGTAGAACAGAGGCTTCTTGATGTTAAAGGGAGAGAAATACCTCATGCATTTCTTTCCCGCTAATATCAGCAGCAAATACAAGATTACAGCGATTACTGGTATGTGGAAGTTCTCCCTCATCCATTTTTCTCCAGACATCATTGAGTATTTTGACTCGAGTCGTCCTATAAGGGGAAGGTAAGAAAAGGGACTGCCTACAAGCTCGCCTTTCATATCAGCTCAAAATGTCTTCAAGAGAGTGCCTGGTGAAAAGATTTGCAACAAAAAAAGAATACCGCGACTAATTGCGTGGGCGTACGTGCTTAAATAAAAATTAAACAGTTTCCTAAACATTATTTAAAGTTATACACAAGTTGTTAATCATTATTAGTTTTTAAACAGAGATAAGTGACACAAAAAGATCTCATGTTGATTATACAACACAAGACTCAGTAATAGTCAGTGAAAAGGGTCTCCTTTCCCCTTTTCAAGAGTCATTAGGTATTATGGTAAACGTAATGTCACCAGTGACCGCTTTAATCATATCAACAGCTTCAGCCTGCGTCTTTCCAGCGACCGATACACCATTCACCATTGTTATCTGATCCTGACACTAAATACAAGAAATATTATTTTAAAAATAATAATCAGTGATCACTTACTTTTAAACGACCGTCATTACTAGCTATGCTCTTTGAAGCTATCCTCTTGACGTATACGGGACAGTCCCCATGGGCGGAGCCAACTCCACCCACTACACTAAAACCAAGACTAGCACTAGATTCACGAGAGATGGTCAGACTAAACTCAAGTGGACTAGAAAAAAGAAAGAAAGTGGATATCAAAAAACCGGTGGGTATAGTAATGATGGCAGCTGCAACTGCCAAATTATTGGTAGCAATTATAGTGAGGGAATTGGCAGCAAAACAATCATTACAACAATGAAGAATGCACTTTAATACAAGAAGCTAGTTCTCAATTTTTAAAATACTCTCTCACTCTTTTACCTTTTCCTTTCTTTCATATAGAAATCTACAAAATCCCGCCAATCTGGGGTAAGGCCACCATTCTGCTGACAAGACCCGTCACCTTGAATCATCTCGAGTCTCACAAGACTACCAATCTTAATACTCTCGAGGATAAACAAAGCTTCGTTCAGTGACTTCTTTGCTAGTGACAAGTTATTAATGGAGACTATAATATCACCGGGCTAAGAGAAAAAGGAACAAAGTAGATTTAAGATAAGAACGCTAAAATGATAGAGAATATTGTACATGTACACATGTGTCATAGCATACCTGAACTTTATTAGCTATTTCAATGGCACAATCATTATTCAGGCCACCCACAAATATTGGCAGATCAATCCTGTCCCCGGTTAGTGTGTTAACTGCGTGATACCCTCCACCCAAAATCAGACCAAGTAACTCATCATTTGTCTGTATTGAAAGAAAATGAAAAATTAATAATTATTTTATTCATGTAAAGGTCTGGTCAGTATTTCCTGTGTAAATGTCAAAGGAGGTTTTTGCAGGTAAATGTAATTTTAAGCATATAAAATTGGTGGCCATAGCTTGAAAATTTTCAGTCAGAATCAGCTCCAACTTTCTACACAGCATAAGGACATCAATATGTATCAAAAAATGTAATAAAAATTGGGGGTGATTTCGGAGCCATTTTTTTGGAAAAAACCATGGGCTATAGCCTTGGGTACTTTTCAGAAAGTTGGAGTTTTTAAAAAATGGCCATAACTCAAAAAATTGAAGTCGGAATCGGCTCAAACTTTCTACACAGCATAAGGACATCAATATGTATCAAAAAATGTAATAAAAATTGGGGGTGATTTCGGAGCCATTTTTTGGAAAAAACCATGGGCTATAGCCTTGAGTACTTTTCAGAAATTTGGAGTTTTTAAAAAATGGCCATAACTCAAAAAATTGAAGTCGGAATCGGCTCAAACTTTCTACACAGCATAAGGACATCAATATGTATCAAAAAAGTAATAAAAAATAGGGGTGATTTTGGAGCCATTTTTTAGAAAAAAACCATAGGCTATAGCCTTGGGTATTTTTTAGAATTGACATATTTCATTAAATGCTAATAACTTGAAAAAATATTTAATTACCTTTTTAATAATGAAACACTTTCCTTCTCCCAAATGATAGCCAGTGGGCGTCATCACTCTCTCGTTCAATTTGCTCTGAACCAGCTCCGACCTAGTTTCTGTTGACTTCTGACACTCGTCAGAGGAGTTAGGAGAGGAGTTAACAACTTGAGCAGGATTGGCGGGCTGAGATGAATTAGCAGAAGAAGCAGATGAACAATTGGAAATGGAAACTGTCGCTGGATCATAAATCTCAGGATGATATCTATGACCAACTAATAACTGTAAAATACCATAAGATTCCTGAGGAAAGAGAGAGAGAGAGAGAGAATAATCTACAGCATAATTTTTAGCTTATAAGTTCCCCATTTTTAGGTCTCCCAAAATATACATGTATTTTTAAGACGTACTGCTTATCACGCATTAATACAACTCACAATCATTAAATTAGCTATTTTATCAAGACTGGCCAGGCGGACATCAGTGTAATTAACCTCCAGGATCCTGTCTCCAACACGAAGTGAGCCGTGATCATAAGCAGGTGAGCCAGGGACCAACTGGTACACGTATATACCAGGCTGAGACCTAGGGTAGAGGAGTATTAGTCATGTGACTTTATGTCATGTGATCATGAGGTATGTACTTGTAATTGTGTATCTGTATTCCCAGTGGCCTGCACTCATCCCTCACTAGGTGTATCTCCTCAATGTCAGCTGGATCTAAAAATAGACACAATGACATCATTTACTGTTTTATATTTAGAAGAAATAATTAAAATTAATGTTGTTAATTTTGTACGGAATTAAATTGTGACTATCATTAATAAATAATAAATAAATAATTAATATAAATAAATAATCATTTGATTATTACCGTATTCCTCATCATGTACTCTGACGATTGTAAATTTAATGAGAGGTTTCGTGGAAGAGAGAGCAATCCGAACCTGATCAAGAGTCTTGTGTCTAAAGAGAACATCATCAATCTGAGGGAGGGGGAGGAGAGAGAATAAACGTTAGATAAATGCGTTAATGTAATACCTCAATTATTTCATCTCCAGGTAGAATACGCCCATCCTTGTACACATTACCAGTTACATATATGTCATCAATAACAATTGAACCCTATAAACAACAACAACAATAATAATAATAATAATAATAATAATAATAACAACAAAACATGCGTATACATTTAAGCTAAACTAATAATTATCTACTTACACTCCTCCCACATTTCTTGATACCAATTCCAAGCTGATCAGTACCTTTAGGGATCTCAACCACAGTAGGGACTCCCTCTTTAATCTGACGCTTTTTATTATCTATTAAAAAATAATAACTTTTAATAACTATACTAAATAACTATTAATAAATGTACTTAACTTATAAAAGTTAGCCATTACTACAAGTATTATTAATAGATGATTTGGCAACAAGTAGCCACCTGTATTCAAATATTCCCTGCTCCTGGAATTAATTACATGTACTATCTATAATACCATATAAAGACACACCAGCTGCTCACATACATGTACGTACATGTACAATAAACTGTGAGAAACATGTCATTGTGTGTACAAGTGTAATAGGAGGAATACATACCATGTACATTCATTAGGAGAGAAAAGGAGAGGGTTATATACAGTGCATGTACATGTACACAATGTGGAAATACAAATAACAAATTGACAGCTGGTGGCTGGTCATGCAGCTGCTATAGTCCAGACCATAATATACAGACACCGTCTCACTCCAATCAAGAGGAAAAACAAACCAGTCAAACAGGTTAGAAGAACAGGTAAAGGTTCATGACATGACCCATAACGTATCTCGCTATAGCTAGACCACAAATTCAATTTAAGTGAGAACTTGTACCGGATTAGATTATGAAATAATCAAAATCTCATTATAGACTAACCCACAGAAGTGAAGGTGTACATGAACTGTCATTTTATTTATATAATTGCTCTTGATCCAATGAAAAGAAAACAAGTACAAATATTATTATTGTTTATCATTGTTGCTGTTATTGATGTTTTTGTTACACCAAAAATGACATTCCCTTCCTTCAAAATATCCTTTCAAACCACAGGAGCATTCAACTCTGTATATTTCAGTAAACTACCCTCTATTTCACATCAACTATTCAACTATGAACATTAAAATCCAGTAAATTCTTGTACATTCTAGTATACTTTGAGGCCAATAAAATACCTGTAAATTCTTAGCTAGAAACTTTTCCTTAAGATAATTGTTTAAACAATATTAATTATAAAACACATGAACATGTTCATGTGTTGATGTAAGGAGGAATGTTAATGGACAAGTGATAGGAGCAGTAACAAGGAAATTAAGAATTGCAATAGAGTCAAATTAATAATGGATAATAAGAGCGAAGAATATCAACAACTGGCCCTCTCTCCCTCTCTCTCTCGAATAAGATATGTATCTTGTTACTTTCTTTTAAGTGTAACTACGAGTAAACTCAAGTTAAACGTTCAAGACTATACTTGTTCGTTCAGTGTAACTTAAAACATAATATCAGTTATACTTATACATCATCTCTCTTTACCCAATGCCACACACAAGCAGGGAGAGAGAGAGAGAGAGAGAGAGAGAGAGAGAGAGAGAGAGGGAGGGAGGGATTAAAAATATTATAAATATTATGACATAAAACGTACATTCAAATCGTGGTTCAGGGCTGCCATGGCAGACGGGTCGCAGGCAGTCTGGCCTTAAAAACCAGAACTGGGGGTTAAAGTACTTTTATGGATCCAACTTTCCCCTCTCTGCCTGCCCTCCACACCACCACTGGCTTTTTAAAGGTATGGATGTTGATTTATAGGGAACATTTTCTGTGGGGCTAAAAGTTTATGCTGTAATGTATGTTGGCAGGAGACGTGCATTACATGTACCTTTATTTATTGTACAAGAGTTTGTGGGTAGCTAGAATTAGTGTATGTACAATGTGCCTTCATTACGCTTAACAGAAATTTGAGCACAGACTTTCTATGTCACAGTAAACACAGTAGGACGAGGGTGTATGTGAGGTACAAGCAGACATTTTAGGCTTACCGATAACACTGGGCTCCATTATGTAATTGTAGCTCTATCAGCTTGTGGCAGGTTGTTTGAGACAAGATTAGTACCATGTGCTTTAAATTTTATTCATCAACTGCTAATTAAGGTGGGGTCTGGTTTGGCACTTCATTAATTATATTGCCATTTACATTAAGTGGGCAGTCTAAAGGACTCAAGTCAAGTGCATGCATTTTAACTGTTAGAGATGTGTTATGCTCAATGAGAGAGAGAGAGAGAGAGAGAGAGAGAGGGGGGGGGGGAACAGGAGAAAAAGGGACAAGGAAAAGAATATTAATGTAATTAAACAAATGAGTGATTGGTTAGAATTTTCAAATTAAATGGTGATTGATCAGAACACAAATAAATAGTACACGCGCAATCATTAAGGATTAAAGAGGAGCAGCTGGTATTCACTGCATCATAGCAACAGGGCTAGGCACTGGAACTCAACACAGAAACCTCAAGGACACTAACTGACCAATCAGAAACCTGATAGGAGTCACACTGTCAAACAAACACACTCATATCTCATGTAAACACACACACACACACACACACACATCATAAAAATGGCCAATATATTAAATCCTGTCAAAATAATAATGACTAAGCTAATAATTCTTTCTCTACTACTCATCAATAATTCAATATAAAGAGCTGATGCAACACTACGCATACATATCTACATATCTCCTCCATGCTTAGTTTACTAATATACTATGGAGCAATGTAAAGAATGAGGGAGGACAGGATAATAAATACTTTCATTTTATAATAATAATAATAATAACAATAATATAACATTCATGTTACCTTAGATCACATTATGTAGACATCAAATCAACACACACATACATTATATTGGACAAGTATAGAAAGTTATAAAATAGTATTTGCAATTATGTCAGAGTAATTACCATGGTAACCCAAGAGCAGCTGTGATCATTAATCATGACTGATACATGATTGAATATCAATTTGTAAAGAGAGGAGAGAGAGAGGGAGGGAGACAGGGAGAGAGAGTGTCTTTTTGACAGCTTATAAAGAGAAGCACTTCCTTCCTGATGCATGCACTCAGTGAAATAAAAACAATGAAATAAAAAGGAGATTATCAAACGTCAGAGGAAAGTGGAAGTGGTCAGATGCCAAGATTACTGAGAAATAGAAACAAAGTTATGAATTAAGAGGAAACACAAGCTACAATCAAGAGCAGATATAATTCATATTTAATGAGATCCAGTACCATAAAAGCAGTCAAGATAAGCATAATCTATAAAATATAAAGGAAAGGGAGAGAATCGAGTGGTGGAGGAAAGGAGGAAAGAGAGACTGAATTTTTTTATCATTTTCATGTTTTGAATTTAGAAAAACTCTGCTATGTAGACACTAAAAGACATTAAAGTGATCCTTATTTTGAGCAAAGATTCTACAATAAACAAAGACAGGTAACAGTTGGTACATGGTACACAAACCAGTTGCAATATAAACCAGCTGTAATGATAATCAAACATTAATGAGGGGGAGGACAGAGATTGGTACAGTATTAATGGAGTATTCTCTCTCCCTCTCTCTCTCTCTCTCTCCCACTTGTTACAAGCTGTAAGCAATAAATTCCCTAACCTTCTTCAATTAGAATTCCCTTAACATAAGAAACAACATACCAAACAAGAAAGGTACCACGCATTAACACGAGAGAGAGGAAGAAAACACACTTAGACACAGTAACAACTGACAAGACAGCAAAGAGAAGAGGAGGTGAATCATTAAGATGGTGCTTATTCAAGTGCTAATCCACCAACCGAAAAGAAGTTGGGAAAGACATTCAGGGGCAGCTTAAAATAGGCGAGGAGGTGTCTCTAAAAGAACAAGCCCCAGGTGCGACTCCAATTAATAAGATAAGAGTGCTAAAGGAAAACATACTTGTTAGCCACCTGGATATTACTCCCGCCAACCAGCTAGCTAACCATGAAGCAGTTCACATACCAGCAAGTACCAATGGTATGCCACTATCATGTACACACGTAAATAATTTTGTAGCTTAGGGTAGACTTTTAGGCTAACTTAGATTAGCATGGAAGTCAAGCAAGCCTTAAAGGCAAAAATTAGGTAATGGGAGGCTATTATTATGATTTATGACAGCTGCTATTGAGTGACAATACCAAATAGAGAGTTGATACTGGAGTATTCAAGTAAGAAACACAATGAAGAAGATTGCATGCATTTAAAAATGATACGTAACATTATGACTACAATCAGGTTACATCAACAAGTACATGTACTTAGAAAAGAGAGAGGAGAGACCCATACATGTACATGTACAATGCAATCTTCCCCATACATGTACATGTACATACTTACATTTCATAATGCAATCTTCCCCGTACATACATGACCAGAGATGCTCCATCAGTTGGCAACGTGGTGATAAATGCAGACAGCCCCTCTCTCTCCTTGGGCAGGAGAGGTAGGTACCTGGACAGGTTCTTTTTAAGTGTGGCTCCAGCTCAGAGCGCATCATCACCAAATCACAATAAGCCGTATTAGGACAAATCACTTTCATTTTATCCAACAGCTTCCTAACCAAGAAACTAGTCTGCTGTATATCTCCGTCTATCCTTGAAATCGGATGATTCTCCACCGGGCAATATGGAGATGTCCGTATCCTCCCAAAGAGACATTTATAACAGAAGGTATGTCCGCAGACTGTTTCAACAGGTTCGATGAGAGGCTTGTGGCACATGGCACAAAGGAAATCCTCATCGACAACTTCAGCATAATCATAAACATGGTTTTTCGTTGGTGGATGACACTGACCGCAAGCATCACAGACTTGTAGTGGACTGGACTTTGCTGATGGGAAGTAAAATGTACGACTGTGAGGTATGGTAGCTCTCCCTGGCTTATAGCTAGGCCTCTCTTTCCTTTCTCCTTCTTCTTGAGGCCCAGGAATAGCTCCTCCAGTTTTGCTTGTTTTCGTTCCATCTATTGTACCGTGACTGTAAGACCAAGAACGGGCCAGCTTGTTAGCCGCCATTTCTATAACTTTATTCGGGGAGAGACTGAGGTATATAAAGTATATTCAGTGGTCACACAAAGAGAGAGCTGTTCTTTAGAGTTCTGTACTCCGTAGTCCGTACGGGAGTGCAAGAGGTCGTTTTATATGACACGAAGACCCCGGATATCCGCTATTAGATCTACTAGGAACAATCCACCATTAAATGCAGGCTTGAAACTTTCTTGTATACTTGGTAGTCTAGAAATCTTTCCAGTGGTGAGGAAAAGGACTTATGATGTAAAATACAAGGGCCATAACGACTTTTCCTCCAACAACAACGTCAACAATTACAAGTACACTTACTACACTATTAAAATTTAAAACCACTCCCGCTGGTTGCACCTGGTGGGACACGTGTTATCACTTGGTCCGGTTGGGGGTAGTCTAGCAGGCTGAGTCAGCAAATCTACGGCTCCACCATAGATATTATTCATGATACATCAGTGTATTTGTTTTAAAGGTATTTTTTATTTCTCGAGCATTTGAGTGATTGAGTCTCGAGCCTTTGAGCCTTTGCTCTAGTAACGTTATTGCTACATTCTTTGACAATGTCTTCAAGAGACCAATTCCGAGAGATCCTAACGAGCAAGGAAGGACAAAAGCTCATTCTTGATGAATTTGGCTACTATGACTTTACCACGCTACTCGTTAAGTTCGAAGCACTAGACAAGGAAGAAGCGGATCGGTTGAAATATGAACACAAATCCGACAGCAAGGAGCTAGTGCTAGCTGTTGTAAGAAGAATGGTTGAAAAGGATGAATTGGCAGCTTACAATGTCTTCAGCCAAATCGTACAATTCAAGAATACTCATGTCTGGCAGCTGCTGTTTCCATTCAGACCTCAACACTCCAAACTTCAAGTCACGAAAACAACTGCTGCTCAAACTGCTCCTCACGTATTATGGCTGTGTGGTAATGAAGAAATATTTGATCAAGTGAGGGAAATTGCTGGAGTACCTGGGGACAGAAATAATAAAAAAACTCCAAGTGGACACTTCATTTATGTTGAACTACATCCTCTTGTCGAAGGAGGGAATGACTTCCCTGTATGGGCGTTTTGTCCAGTAGATAACTCACTTGAGTCCCTAGCACTAAAACTAATGCAGTATTACAGCAAATCCAAATACTTCATATTCACTGGTACAGGCAAACCAGTCGGCCATCATCCAAGAGTACAAGAGACTGACATTTGCATTTCACGACCTAAAGAGTCCTCCCCATTGGGTTTTATTGAAGAACTCTGTCATATGAATGCTTTGTGGGGCCTTGATGTCCAGTCAAGTAAACCGTGGGGTTGTTCTAAAGTAGTTTTTGGTAGCGTTGGTAGTTCTGTTCCTGCTGGGTTTGATGTGATTAGTAGTCCATCGGTTGCTTTTACTGATGCTGGAGAGGCTTTGGTTAGAAGTGGTAAACTGATCCCTTATGCCTCCATATTATCTGTTAATAGTGTTGATGGATCATATTGTTCACAGTGTGGGCAGCTCAACATGGAGCATTGTGTGAAGTACTCACTACACGTCATCAAGTATCTCTGTAACAAGAGTGTACTCTATAATCAATAGACTACTGACATCCAGTGCACTAATCCCTCAATTTCAGCTGTTCTATTTAACATTTTATGTATTGTGAAATTATTGCTAAAATGATCATTATTTTAATGAAAAAAAAAATTCTAAGGTGGCTAGAGGAGGAAACAAATTAAAAGGCCAGTCTTTCCCACGTTTTTGCACGTGGGCAGATTGAATCACGTGATCTTCACTAATTTGTCCAGAGGTGTGGCTGCTCATGCTCTTTAAATTTTAATTAATTTCCCCAATATTTCTTCATCTTATTCTTTAGTAGCAATATACCAATATGGATTACCAGCATCGTGTTGGTTCAAAGACTGGTGGGGGAGGTGTTGCCTCATATTCAGAATCAAGCAAAGACAGGAAGGAGCGACTTAAGAAACTAGCAATGGAAACCATTGATATTACAAAGGTGATATTAATTAATCAACTAATAATTAATTTATTAATATTATTAATATTTTTATGATGCATAACAAATACTGACGGAATATAATAATATCGAATCACTGTGTTTTGTAATGTACAGGGGTTCGACCTGATTTTTGAGCAACTTAAAAATTCATAAAACATCTAAATTTGACCAGAATCAGTTCAAACTTTCTACACAGCATAAGAACATGTATATACATCAGAAAAAAATATAAAAATGGAGAACTCTCAAAACTTTTTTTTTCGGTGAAATTTGACCGAAGTCCCTGTACTATAGTACAGGGACTTTGGCCTGATTTTGGAGTAACTTTTAAAATTCATAAAAAATTCAATTTTGATCGGAATCAGTTCAAACTTTCTACACAACATAAGAACATGTATATGTATTAGAAAAAATTATAAAAATGGATGATTCTCTCCTTTTCAATTTTTGCAAAATTTGGCCCCAGACCATGTACTATAGTACAGGGAATTTTGCCCAATTTTTGAGCAACTTTAGAAATTCATTGCCGTAATATTTTTATTATTTTGTCAAATTTGTTATGCCAAAATCCTGGTCTTAATGTAAATTTTTTGAGGTTCGAATACTTTTAATTTGTCCGTCTTTTTTCTGACTAGGATCCATATTTCATGAAGAACCATCTTGGACAGTACGAATGTAAGCTGTGTCTTACTATTCATAACACTGAAGTGAGCCTTTACGTGTACCTCCATTCATCATCATCATCATCGCTGTTTTTATTATTGTTTTTAGGGAAGCTACCTCGCCCACACACAAGGGAAAAAGCATCAATCCAATCTGTATGAGATTTTAAAATTATAATTGTTTTATGCTCTCTTTCTCCCTTTTCCTCCAGGGCTCAAAGAGCTGCTAAAGAAGCTTCAGAAACACAAATGCTCCCAGCTCTAGTAAACGGATATCATTTATTTAGTCATTTATTTTATTTATTTTTAGGAGAAACCAAGAGTCGATATCAAGAAGTTTATTAAAATTGGTCGCCCTGGATACAAAGGTTAGTTAGTCGCATGATCATCATATGTGGCCTGTTTCTGTTTTCAGTCACTAAACAAAGAGATACTGCAACTGGCCAGCACAGCCTGTTCTTTCAGGTATTTTGATTCTCAAAATACAAAAAAATTATATATTTTTCCTTGAAGGTTGATTACCCTGAGATAGTAGATGGTCTTCGCCCGAGACACAGATTCATGTCAGCCTACGAGCAGAGAATGGAGGCACCTGACAAGGCTTGGCAGTTTCTTCTATTTGCAGCTGAACCTTACGAGACCATCGCCTTCAAGGTACTCATTTATATTGTTTGGATACATTATTTTCTTGTTAATTTTATTTCGTTTGTTTTTTCGTTTGTTGATAGATTCCAAGTCGTGAGATCGACAAGTCAGAAGGCAAATTGTGGACCCAATGGAACAACGAGACAAAACAAGTAAGAGGGAGAGAGAGAGAGGGAGAGGGTAAAGGAGAAGTATTGCATTAAATAGAAGAATGTGACATAGCTAAAATTCTTTTTTTTTCAGTTTTTTCTACAATTTCATTTCAAATCTGATTACTCTCAAGTTCCAGCTGCTCCACTCCCTCCTAAAGACATGCCCCCAAGATAACATTCACATTATGTACTCCCTCCCTCCCCCCCCCTCTCTCTTTCACTAATAATACTGTAAGTAATGTATCTCCATGTACTGGGAATTAAAATTATGTTTTTCTGATAATAAATTTTCTAAAAATAAGACTAGTAGAAATAAAAATATATATAATTATTGATAAAAACAGATTTGTGATGCTAAAAAGTGTCTATTTTTTATTTTGAATTGCCATTTTTAATAAACTCCAGCCTTCCTTGCACCCATGTCTCCTCTTTCCTCATCTTGTGTCTCTTGAAAAACTCCCTCAGTCTCTCGTAGCGGCTTACCACATCAAACCCACAGAGAGTCTCTACCTTATGAAGGTCAACTGGACACAGGAACATTGGCTGACGAAAGTCCTCTTCTAAATGTCCCGATCCGTTCATAAGGCATTCGTACCATATGCAGTGGTCAAGTCCAAGAAGATGACCTATCTCATGTACTAGTAATTTACAGGACCTTTCTAGTATCACGCTCTTTCCTTCCCCCTCCTCGGTTTTTTCCTCATCGTCGTTGTCATGGTAAATTATCTCGTACCAGTTCTCAGGCGAAAACGAGATGGAGGGGTTGTATCGAGAGAAGCTGAATATGCCCACTCTGTGATTACCGGCAGCCATCCCGGCCACAAAAAGGTCACTAGGGTCACTGAAAAGGTCGTGCATTGTCAGCGCAATGAGAAAGAGGGCGTCGGCCGGTAGGTGTGGCTTGAGAGAAGATAGAATGGACGATATGTCTAACTGTAGGTGTCTGGTTCTTGAATTGTACCGATGCTGAAGGGTGTGTCGTATTGTTCTGGAGCTCCGCCTCTTCTTTGTTTCACCACTAGCACTCATAGCTGTTGGACTAATTACAATTTTATAATCGTCTCCGTCTTTTTGAAGCTCCACCCCTTTCATTTCACTGACTGGTAAATCATAGAAAATCTCAACGTATTTTACCAGCTCCTGGAACGATGGATAGAGCCTCTCCCCTTTATCAAAGTCTCCCAGCTGCAATAAGTATATCTTCCCGTCAGGATACTTCTCTTTAATGTTGAATCCTTTGGAGTGAAACCTCTGCTCTCTTCCTATCTTCCATTTCCTTGAGCTCATCCAGGGACAGTCCTGGATAAACCCAGCATAATCCTGTCCCTCTTCATTGTATTGGGCGAGCCAGTCATCCTGACAAAGGGGTTGCCTCATAGCTCCAAAATGGCCTCCAGATGGCTGAAGGTGAGTGGGGAGAACAGGAGGAGTAGAGCTCTTTCTCTTGTTCATTATGGCCTCCTCTGATTGCTTGACTGTTGGTGGCTTAAATCCTCTTGCATAAGGGACCGAGGCTATCTCCTCCTTTCTTCTTTTAGCACTTTTGGTCTTGGGCATAATCTATTCTGCTGCTTTGTTTTGCTTGCAGGTTTAATAGGGGCGTGACTGGTATTTGAGTCACACCTACCCAATTACAAGACATCGACAGGGTAAGAAGATGGTGCAGTTTCCTTTCGGTCATGCGGGCCAGAGTCTGGCAAGACTCATGAGCGCCTGACTAAGCTCTCTCTATAAAAGGTGCTGCAATAAGTGGCAAAACTCAAAGAAAATCTCGAGAAAGAAAAGAAAACATGATCTTTACTCTTCTCAACCTGCTGCTCTTTTTCTCAGCTTGCAAGGCGGCCTGCACTATTCCATGCTATCTCACGTGTCCTGGGGTCAACGAGACAGGCTCTAAGCTCCAGGTCAGGATCGGAGTCATCTTGGATTTCCCTAGCAATGCGAACGAAACAAAACTGCTGCAAAGTGCCGGTCTCAATCCGGAGGACTTGCTACCCGGAGATATGCTGTTACCTTATTCTCCTCTCGCACTCATAACGTACGAAACTGCAAAGAGATTGAACCTCAACTCGACCGTATTGCCAGAGCACTATATTTGTCTCTACTACACCTTCGTCCCGCAAGGTTTCAGGAACATTGCACTTGGCCCCACGAGGACTTACTCTCACCAAGGAGTTTACCTAATGATCAATGCAGTGAAGCAGCCAGTAGTCCATGCGTCTTTATCTCACCTCATTGAGTACCTCCGTCCGTTACTCTCCGTCAAGCACCACTGGACGATTGATGCTTGTCCTGGTAATGAACATGCATGGTATGTTGAGCTTTTAATCGGACGTGAATCCAAGGAACCAGTCCTCTGCTATGACAATGTCAACGTTAACTTAGGCCTCAGCACTACACTTTACAATCTCTATAAAGCGACTTATATGTTTGTGAAGAAGTTCAATTGGAAGAGGATTGGGATACTTACCACATGCACTGAATGCGTAGAGGCTTGGCCTGGGAATGAGTACGCTGTCATTAGTTATTATGATCCGTCTGACTTTATCTCCTCATTCACTCCTTTTAAAGGCCGTGAGATTCACATTTACATTTTCTTGGGAAATACAAAAAGTTACTTGGACATGCTCCTTGAATTTAACTTGAGGAGGAAGTCTGATTTCAGGTAACCTAATCTCTTTGCTGTGTAACCATTGTACTTTGTTGTTGTTATAAGATTGGCTTAAATTTTGTTTCTAATTCTGTTTGCTCTGTGTCAAAGCCTTAAGGACTAACAGTCATTTACCCATACTTTATTTGGAAAGGAAGCACTAAGGCACAATCTTGTTATTATTATTATTATTTTTAGGCTATTCACTTGGATCCTGCCATTCAATTGTCCTTCATTTAGTAAAGTCTTCGATAAGATTTCTCGCAAGTACTTCAACTCACATCAAATCCAACGCATCGAATTTGAGCTACGTGGCTCGTTTGTCATTCATCCTGTTCAAAGATTCAAGCAAGATAAAAACGGGAGAGTGATTTCAATGTACGAAGGTGGCAAGGGTCTCAACAGTGCCGGGTTTATCATAGACGCTCTCCAACTTGACATATTCACAGCTGACGAGTTTTTGAAAACAAAAGCTGCAAGACTTGGGGCGAACTTGTCCGAAGTTTCCATAGCTTCAGCAGATAAACTGAATGTCATTGCAACAATGCTAAATACTACTTTTGTCGGTGAAACAGGTAGAGTGATGTTTAACAATGCCTGCAATAGACTTACCAACATATTCAAAGTAATTAATATGGCCCCTTCGACCCAGAGTGGTGTTATCATCGATAAAAAAGTTGGTGGATTTATTTTCCAAGATCCAGAGAATAGCAGGATACTGTTTTATCATAATAATGAGACTTTGTCTCCAGTGAATGGACTAATCTTTAAGGATGGAACAACTAGTGTACCACTTGATTATCATCAAAGAAAATACAGGAGATGTAAGAACAATTCTATGCAGCATAAATGTGTATAATATATAGCAAGTGTCTTAAATTGTATATACACTTAGATTGAGAGTCAGCCATTAAGTTTTATTGATATAATTCCAACAGAAATGTCAACCTACAAGTATATGATAGCATTATACCAATATAATTTGCACATAATTTTTTTTATATTAGCTACAAGTTTAACGGGAGCAATAGTATTCAACTCTTCATTTCTGTACATTCTCATTGCAGTCTGTTATTTTGTGTATGTAAGACATCAGGACAAACTAGCTCACATATACAGCGAGGCTTGGCTTTATCAGCAAAAAGATGTCAAACTTACTACTGGTTTGTTGTGTTCAATTTGTACGATCTGAAATTATTTATTTCTTGCATATTTTATAGGAACATTTGCTGATTCTACACTTTCGTCTCTTCTTCAGATCTTGCAGCCGAATCTTCAAGAGGACAGCAACATTGGAGAAATGTTTGTCAATGCATTAATACAGCTGTGTTATTTCACAGCTGGAAAAGGACATGTACTTATCCTTTCTCTTCATTTCTAGTAATGGAAAGATTGTCAAAGTTCACAAGATGAAAATGAATATTTCTACATTGGATCTTAACCTCAGGAAGACAATGTTACAGATTTTGTAAGTCACTTTTAGACAAAATAACTTTAAATGGAGATGTTGTGAACTTTTTTCACTTTGGAAAGGGAAAATTACCGCCATTAGAATAAGTTTTCAGCACAATTAGCTAGTTGGGCTTGCTAATTTTTTTATCCTTTTCTGTCATGTAGGAATTTTGACCACGAAAACATCTGCCCCTTTATCGGGTGCATTCTACAGGGACCAACCATAGTTGGGATGATGCACGAGTATTGTAGTCACGGGAGTCTTTATGAGGTCCTTCGGAATCCTAACATTGTTTTTGACAAGCAGTTCCGTGTTCTATTTGCGACAGACATCATAAAAGGACTCACTTATCTTCATTCTCATAAGCTGACCCATGGAAGGCTCTCATCTGTGACCTGTGTCATTGGAAACCTTTGGAAACTCAAACTGACCGGTACTGATTCCATCCACGTGTGGGTGGGTGTGTGCATTTTTTATTTAATTTTTACAGATTACGGACCTGATGCACTCCATTCAATGAGAACTGGCAGTCAAGGAGTAAGATGAAATTAAAATTAATTGTCAATTTTGAAGTCTTGGCTAACTTGTACCTCTTTTGTTTTAAAAAACCTTTACTTGTCACTATTTGTTGTCATGCATATTCACTGTAGAAAAAGTCTTCAACACAGTACAGCTATTGCAGTCAAGATGTATCCGACGACATATACAAGTACAGATCCACATGATTTGCAGTTTTATGATCTCTCTATCTTTCTTTCTCTCTCTTCCTTTCTCTCTCTCTCTCTTTTGTAGCTTTGGTCTTGTTTTAAAGGAGATGTCAAGCAGGCAGTACATTATTAAAGATAAAGTGGCAACTATTGATGAGCTAGAGTATGACATTGAAGTTCCTTTTGAGATTAAGAAAGTAATTACTAACGCAGCTTATGTCTGGAGTATTACTATTATTATTATTATTATTATTATTATTATTATTATTATTATTATTATAGCTCATTGAGAGTTGCATTTCAAATAATTTGCTTCAGCGTCCAACGACCGAAAGGATCAAGACTTGTCTAAAACGCTCAGTTGCCAAGTGTGGGCTTTCACAAGATGTGACCGGAGTTGTGAGTCATAATCAAGGATTATACACAAAATATTCTCTTCCTTCCTTTCTCTCTCTCTCCTGTTTTCTTTCTTCCAGGCTGAAGTGAACCTTCGTAATCTCGAGAACAATATTGAAGTTCTCAAAATGAACGTTTCGATACAAAAACAGGATAATGACCTCATATTAGAAAGTATGACATTATCATTTTTAACCGCCCACACAATTTTATTATAATTAATAAATAATTATTAATAATTAGTATACTGTATATTTGCTGTATTTCTTATATAGAGTGTATGCCTAGTGAAGTTGTCAAGTCGATCAGAGATAAATCTATCAAACCTCTTGAGAATTATGATGATGTTATAATCGTGTGCGTGTAAGTTATTCTCATTCTTTGTGACATTATTCACCTTTTGCTGTTCTCCTTATTTCATGTAGCACTTTGGTTGATATTGACAAGGACTACAGTGTCTCTGAAATACCAGCCATCATTGAAAAGGTAACTCATCAGTATTGTAGGATTTAATGTTTGCTTTTGTACTGTACGACACAGCACAGAGTATTTTGACAAAAATGGCTCAAAAATTCTCTATTTTTATAATTTTTTGATACACATACATGTACTTATGTTGTATACCAAGTTTGAGCTGATTCCAATAAAATTTTGAATTTTTATAAATTTTTAAAGTTGCTCCAAAATTTGGGCCAAAGACCCTGTACTACAGTACAGGGACTTTACATTTTCTGTTGCACAATATTTATGTATTGTTATGAATAAGTAATTTCATGTACATTACGTGTCATGTATTTTCATTTCTCAAATAGGCTGATAAGGTCCTTCATGGTGCTGCTAGTACTGCTGGACTGATTCGGATACAAGCTACTGGCACTTCATGTAAGCTTTTATATTCACTATCACTATTATTATTATTATTATTTATTTATTTATTTTATTTATTTATTTTTAAAGGGATATATGCATCTGGTGTTTATAAACCTGAATGTGAAGTCACTGTTGTTGAGTCTCTCAAGGCAGTTAGTCTAATAAAGTCATCTCTTGAAGACTCTCAGCATAAAATTTATCCAAAATTTGCCATACACCAGGGTCAGTTAATTATTACGTTTTCTGATACATATTGATGTCCTTATGCTGTGTAGAAAGTTTGAGCTGATTCCGACTTCAATTTTTTGAGTTACGGCCATTTTAAGAAACTCCAAATTTCTGAAAAGTACCCAAGGCTATAGCCCATGGTTTTTTTCCAAATAATGGTTCCAAAATGACCCTCAATTTTTATTACATTTTCTAATACATATTGATGCTCTTATGCTGTGTAGAAAGTTTGAGCTGATTTCGACTTCAATTTTTCGAGTTATGGCCATTTTAAGAAAACGCCAAAAATCTGAAGAATACCCAAGGCTATAGCCCATGGTTTTTCCAAAAAAATGGCTCCAAAATGACCTCAAATTTTTATTACATTTTCTGATACATATTGATGTACTTATGCTGTGTAGAAAGTTTGAGCTGATTTTGACTTCAATTTTTAGAGTTATAGCCATTTTAAAAAAACGCCAAAAATCTGAAAAATACCCAAGGCTATAGCCCATGGTTTTTCCAAAAAAATGGCTCCAAAATGACCTCAAATTTTTATTACATTTTCTGATACATATTGATGTACTTATGCTGTGTAGAAAGTTTGAGCTGATTTTGACTTTAATTTTTTGAGTTATGGCCATTTTAAGAAAACGCCAAAAATCTGAAAAATACCCAAGGCTATAGCCCCTGGTTTTTCCAAAAAATGGCTCCGAAATCACCCCCAATTTTTATTACATTTTCTGATACATATTGATGTCCTTATGCTATGTAGAAAGTTTGAGCTGATTTTGACTTTAATTTTTTGAGTTATGGCCATTTTAAGAAAACGCCAAAAATCTGAAAAATACCTAAGGCTATAGCCCATGGTTTTTCCAAAAAATGGCTCCGAAATCACCCCCAATTTTTATTACATTTTCTGATACATATTGATGTCCTTATGCTATGTAGAAAGTTTGAGCTGATTTCGACTTCAATTTTTCAAGTTATGGCCACTTTAAGGCCAATATATCTGAAAATACCCAAGACTATATATAGTCCATAGCTGTGACTCTGAAATTACCTCCAAATTTTTTTTTTTTTAATAGATTCTGTGACATGTGGTGTTGTTAATCAATCTGCTCCATTTCATGTTCTCCTCGGGAAAGCCTCAGCCTCTGCTCTCAGCATTCTTCATCATTGTCCTGATAATGGAATCATTGTCAGTGAACCTGTTAAACTTTGCCTCTCTAAGAACTATCAACTTGAATACATTGACGCCATCATGGAAGAGGTTTCTTTCTCTCTCCCTCCTCCTCCTTTTTATTTCCTTCCTTCCTCCTCTCTCTCTCTCTCTCTCTTTTTGTTTTTAAAGTACTTCATCATTATTTCATTCATCTATAGGACGGCAATTCTTTGCCATATTACAGTTACTCTGCACCATTTGCTGATCTTTCCACCAGCAAGGTCTCCTTGACATTGTCCACTGGCTCCAAGTCACAATGTGAATAATCCTCAGTTCTTCATCAGTTCTCCTACTGTTCAATTCAATATTTTCCTTCCATTCTACTGTACACACAACTTTATTTCATTGCAGTGATCATTGTTAATTTTGTTGTAGATAGTTGTTGTAGAGTACAAAGTGACAGTCACTTTGCTATAGAGACTTACTGTGATTCCTTTTTTCCTTTTTTTTTAAAAAAAATTATAAAACTGTTACTGCTGTTTAATTTCTAAGATTGCAAGTCCAGAAGCTTTTCATGAAGATGCCTCATTTTTTTGAATTGGTTGCCATGGGTACTGCACTGTCATTGGTCACCTGAAAGGTGCAATTGATACACCTGCTATTAATCACTAATAATTATTAATGAAATTTAATTTATTAACAAAAAGGAGAGAGAAAAAAACTAAAACACATTGACATTATTATTGATTGTTCAACAAAAAAAATGCCTAAACCAAAATGTCCTAAAACTAAACTAGCAGCACTACAATATTTAAATAGTTTCAGAGATGAAGTGCTTCACACACAATCGTTGCAATCATATTTTATCAAGAGGGTTTGCAACCGAATCAAATTTTTCCTGATCCTCGCTCATAGCAACACAATCTTCAGCAGTCACAATGTAAGCTACAACATCTTCATTCTATAAAGAAAGAATACAATCAAAAATCGTGCAGCAATTATAAAACCTTTTTATCAAACTTCTTTAATCCCATTCGATTAGGGAGGTCATTCTTAGCCCTCTCGCTGATGAGGACTGCATTAACTGGGCACTGAATCATGAGTTGTGTGGCATCATCAATAGGAGCACCCACTGCAGCATGAAATGGAATGGTCTCATTCACTACGCCACAGATCAAATCACCTGAAGAAAGGAATGAATCAGAGTATGAGCAAAGATACAGCTGTTGAAAGTAGAGCTAGCATATTCTAAATACCTAAATGGATTGACATTCGAACTGATAACTTTTGAGTTGATTGCCTCTCCTTAAACAAGAGAAGGAGTTTCACAGCACAATTAAAAACTTCTTGAACTCCTGGCTTATCAGCAGTCTCCTCCTCATATTGGTAGCTAATGTAAGTCCCTGTGTATATGGAGCAGCAATGGACACTACTACTGGTGGACCCCATACTTACAAGTTGATCCAAAGCTCTGGATTCGGTGCATGTTGAAAGAGGTAGCAATTCCATCCAAAAGCCTATCAACCTGCCCATAGAACAAGAAATAACAGGAAAATAATTAATAATAGCAAAATAATGGACTGTGTGCTATAACTAAATGATATACTTACAATAACAATGATTTTAGAAACTTGTTCCTTAGTGTAGGTACTCAGTATGCCATCAATATCACACAGACCACTGTCAAAATAATAATAATAATAATAATAATAATAATAATAATAATAATAATAACAATAATAATAACAATAATAATAATAATAATAATAATAATAATAACAATAATAATAATAATAATAATAATAATAACAATAATAACAATAATAATAACAATAATAATAATAATAATAACAATAATAATAATAATAATAATAATAATAATAATAATGAGCTTACAAGCAGAGTATGACAGTGTTAGGAGCGAGCTTCATTTTTAAAGGAATTTTATTCTGTATTGCGTTTATTGCTGGTTTAGGAATATGATCTATTTAATAATAATAATAATAATAACAGAATCATGCAACACATAGCAATAGGTGCATTATTATGAATTAATAAATGGACAAATGCTATGCTTACTAGCCAGTATGTCTCCATTTGCATTCTTCTCATCTTGAATTGACGTGTTTAGCTCCAAAATGTGTCTCTCGAGATTCTTGGAATACATTTCAGCCTAAAAAGGAAAGTAGACAAAAAAGGCAAGTGTTTTTGGCGGGATTTATTTGCTTCTCATACAGCTGCAGTGTCGTTCTTAAAATGGAAAGTGTAAAATGACAGACAATCTTTCAAGTATCCTTTAATGAAGCTTGCTGATGGCCTGGCACTCTTCTTCATTTGGTGACATTTCTCAATCAACTAACAAAGAGAGAGAGAGAGAGAGAGAGAGAGAGAGAGATCAAAAGGAAAGTTGTGAGAGAATGATTAAGGATCTTACTTCAACATATCTGTCTCCTACATCTTCATCATAATGGATCTTTCCAAAATTGATGCTACCGAATTTGAGTAGAGTTTCGCGACAACAAAGCTCAGTCAAAATGACACCAAAACTGAAACAAATAGCTTATACCATCAATTGATTCCTTTTAATGCATACTTGTATATATCCGAGACAGTATCTTGATCTGGCAAATAGTATATCTTCTTGGCAGCTGTTTTCTGTACAAAGAGAACACCATCAAAGTAACGAGATCACATCATATTCGTTCATACCAATTTAGAGAGTCTCTTCACTTTGGTATAATGAATATCAATGGGTTCATAATCTACATAACAGCACATGAGTCTATACTGTCCTCTCTCTCCTGGCCATATCTAACCTGTTAGCTTCAAGTTCCAGTGTTGATCAATGACACAGTTGTTACTAGTGAGTCTACCATGTATTGCCTTCCTACCATGGAGGTACGCCAGGCCCTCAGAGCAGTCAATGGCAAAGGACTGCCTGAAGGACTTATTGAAACCAATGTGAGGATTAGTGAGTAGGTCGTAGAGGGAACCACGTGTACAGTACTCGTACATCAAACCTGTTATTAGAGAACCTTGCAATATACCTCCGACAAAAGGGCATATGTTATCATGCTTGAAATCACTAAAAAAGAGAGAGAATATCTTTTACCTATTGCCTCCATGCATTAACACGTGTCATTAATTCTGTACTCTCTCTCTTACAGAATTGTGAGTATCTTTTGTCTCATTTTAACGTTCAGTTGTGACATGTTAAGTTTTGCCTTGTGTATGTACACAGCATTGCCAGCATTGTTACTGTATAAAAGAGAGAGAGAGATATTACATGGAAATGGTACATCAAAATTAAAGTATTCTCACATTTGTCCAATAGTTTGATCCCCATTGTAAGTGAGCCAACTTAACATGATGTTAACACCAGATTGATCTGTAATAAAAATAAAGAGTTTTTTTCTCTCTCTCTCCCTTCTCTCTCTCTCCCTTCTCTCTCTCTCCCCACCCCCCCTCTCTCTCTTTACCAATGGAATAGCTTATATCATTGTCATGATAGATCCAGCTCTCATTGTATACATTAGCTCTTTTGTCCACTTTATTCACGTAAATAATATACAAGAGACTCATAATTAGATACAGGACTAATTCCAGTATCAAGCAACCAACAATCACACGATTATCTAATAGATGAGAGAAATGGTTTAATTGCTTCGTTATTTAACTGATTCCTCTCTCTCTCTCTCTTGACAAAAATGAAATATTCAAGTAAAATAACAAAAAAAGACACAGTATTAAAAGCAGTGTGCTTACTTCTAGTGTAAAACTTGCTGATAGAATCAGAAGGTATAGCCGTTAAACCGTTATGAAAGACGATGGTGCTGACATCAGATTTCAAACCAGTGGAGCTATCAATGAACTCAATCAATGGCTCATTCTGACAAATAACCACAAAACCTTTCCTTTCTTTCCTATACGGCAAAGTTGCATTGCTTTGAGGAACAAAGTTAGTTATTACAAAAGTATTTGCGACTCGGTTGCAGTATCTATCAAACGTAAGTATACCAGTAATCCCATTTAGTGTAGTGTTGAACAGGTGACGAGTAATGACGTCATAATCATCTCTCTCAAGTATAACGTCGGTTATATTAACACCTGAATTAGCTGCTTTCTCTTCAAGGCAACTCATTGCAGCAAGTGAATGAACAGTAATGGCATCAGTAATGACACCACTTCGAATGAGTCCGGTACTACAGTTGTCGAATGGTTGAATCGCTATAGCTCCAACTAGCATGTGATACACCTTGGCTTTATCTTCAGGACTAAAGCTATGCTGCTTGAACACTTCTGACTCTGTGATGTTTGGATGGAAAGTGAGTACAATCCACACAAAGGTCCTGTACCAAAATAAAATTAACAATAAAAAGGATTTTCCTAACTAATTGATACACACAATTGTAAAATGCCATATTAAATTAGTGTATACCTCAAACTTCCTGAAAACCCATTGTCATAAGCTTCTACCAGTAGCCTGAAGAAATCAACCATTGGACCCAAAAAGATGTATATGTTAATCTCATGCTCTTCGAACCCAGACATCTTGAACATTTCAATGAAACGCATCGGGACATAGTGTCCTAACTGTACCTCATCACTAGTTGTGAAGAATCTCAAGAAGCAATCGCAAGTTGTGATTAAACCGAATTTCTTCCAACCCATCCTCTGCACAAACGAATAACCAGCACTGTAGAGGCTTAAATGTGGAGCTGCCATACTCAATTGAGTGTCCCTTACTTCACTAGTGCAGCTGCTGTCATACTTTAACTGGACGCCAAGAAATGCCTTGAGTAGCGTACTTAAACTGGCATCAGGACATATGTTGGTTGATAACGAATGACCAATAGTGATTAAAGGAGAATAGTGGACCATCAGTTCTGCATGAGACAAGTGCTGCTTCATGTCATAGAGGGCATTGACGACTTGTCTCACTCGACTATGAACAAAGATATAGTTTGAGCCGAGTCTGATGTCAAGGAAATCGACTGGAGTGAAAGTGAAATAAAGACACAGATGATGGTAAGGAAGTATAGCAGGGTTAGCATTGATTTTGACAGCTTGTTTGTATGCAGAGACTGCAAGTGGAGAATAAGGAATGAGGAGTTTTCCTGGTAGGACATCGCCTGGCTCTAGACCTGCTTCTTCGTAAACTTGAGTCTCGTTGGGCAACAAAGGAAAATCAAACATGACTCCAATGCGAACCTGAGGCTTTGCATCTGCATCAGTGTCATTGATACCAGGGCATGTCAAGTAGCTTGGGATACGATAGGTTCGTGCTTGAACAGCAGCGATAAAGAAAGCAGCAAAGAAAAGAGAGAAAGGGAGAGATTTACTGTCAGCCATTTCAAATGACGTTGGATACTGAACTAACTCAAAGCAAAAACAATGAATATAAAGGTTAGCAAGCACTCCATTCATGGTAGGGGCTAAGACTTATATGGAAAGTGATGCAGCTTAAGGTAGCGGCGCTACAGTGAGGGCTACTAGGCACCAATTTCGACTATTTTGCTGATTAGACACTTCCTTGTACATAATTTAGGCTGGGTTTACACATCAACACAAAAGGCATTTAAACTATGAAACCAATGGATCTACACTTTTAGCTCCCCATTAAATCCTATCAAGTTTTCGTTTGTTTCCATGTAAACAGAAGCATAAAACAGGCACAAAACAAAACAGAGATTGCATTGTTCTTTGTTGTTGTGTAAAACAAGCGTTAAAAGGAAATGAAAAGGTATAGTCAATTTGAACTTAAAATTTTAAATAATGGATCATGCTTTCTCAATGTAAGAGTCAGCGTTTTCCTGCAATAGTATTCATCATCAAATATTTCTAAGTTCTCTATGACATCATCAAGTAATATTGATCTGCCCACTTGACAACCAGGAGCATCATATTTGACGTGGGTAATGTGGACATGGAAATGATAATAGGAAGGATGATAGTGAATGTAGAACCTCAATTGGTTACCACTCACGCCATAGTGGGCTTCAGCAGCTGCCTAAAGAGACAAATATGTACAATACACTTCAATAAAGTTTAAAATGTTATATTTTGTACTTTTCCTTTTTGCTGTATGTCTCGCAGTAAAGGTACGTGTTCCTTCCTCAAGTCTCGTACAGAATATAATCCAGCCTGTCTCACGATAGCAATGAGATAGAGAGAGTTAAGGTCAGAAGAGTTCCACTTTAAATCAGGAAGGATTACAAAGCCGCTAACATGGTCCTCATCATTGTATATCAGCCTATCAGCTTCACTGATGCCTTTCAGTATGTTATCCACCCACTGGTACAAAAGAGAGAATCATAAAAATTGCATACATTTTATATCATATTTTCATGTATATATTATTTCTGTATTCACCTGCAAACTCAGTGCTTGTGACTCTATGTAAGGTTTTACTTTCCTAGCGTAATCCTCAGGAGTTTCTTTTATAACAAAAACCTCCTGATCAGTGTATTTCATGACATGCTTCTCAGTTGCAGGATACACAACCATCATTTTGAGGGACCCAAGACCACCCGGAGCTTGGACCTCGTACTGGCTGTAGATATCATTCTTGAAGTTAAGTTTAAGCTCAGGATGGGATGAGGAGGAAAGGAATGAGGTGAGTTCCTTTTGATCGATAGGTTGTTTCTCAGTCACAATGACTGCTTTCTTATCTCCTTCACCGAAACTGCCACATAGTGCCACGGATTTCCCTCTTGTGTCCTCTGCAAGAACGCTGGACACGTAAAAAGAGCTCTTAAATTCTTCCACCATTTTAAAATACAAAGGTTCACAGTACACACGTGATCGCACGTGGGCATGACCAGATCACGTGGCCTGACGCTACGTCATGGTAATAATTTTTAAAATATAAACAGACCACGCCCATTAATCACAGCAGCATTACTCAGTGAAAGTAAAAGTGTCTTCTCTGTTTCTCTTCTTTTCCTTCACTTATAATGGACGAACCAGAAGTCAGTGGCTTTCTCTTTAGAGATTGTTACACCTCGAATCTCTTTACTACCTTTTTTCTTTCTTTTTCCTTTCTCATTTCTATTTTCTTCCTCCCCCTCCCTCTCTCTTTCCTTCCCCTCTCTCTTTTTAGTGTCCTCTGTGTCTGGAGCCACTGGCAATAGACGACATTAACTTCTACCCTTGTGTCTGTCGCTATCAGGTAATAAAAGATATATCAATGTGTCCCTTTTTATATCTCTCCCCCCTCCCTCTCCCCCTCTCTCTCTCCCCCTCTCTTCTCTCAGATATGCAGGTTTTGTTGGCATAGGATACGTATGGATGAAGGAGGCAAATGTCCTCACTGCAGAACAGTAAGTCTGACTTTAATAATAGCTAGGGCTTCAATCTACACGTCTCCAATCCATGTATAAGTACATGTGCATGGTATAATGTGTAGATATATTGTACATACTGTCTCTGTCTCTTCCCCTCTCTCTCTTTCTCTTTTCCTTTTTCCCTCTCCCCCCCTCTCTCTCCAGGTTTATTCTGAGAACCCAGCTGAATATAATCCGCCATCTCCGGAACAGTAAACAAATTATTGTTGTTATTGTCGTTGTATACTGTTGTTGTTTTTATGATGCAATGCTTTTAATCGTGACGTCGTTGATTTAATGATCTATTTTTAGATTATTCTTGTCTATTTTTAGAATCAATCAGCTCAAGACTAAAGGCAAGAAGAAGAGTCAAGACAAAAAACAGAAAATAATTGAAAGTAGGAAGAACCTCACTGATGTCAGGTAAGACAGAGAGAGAGTATGTTATTCATTAATTATTTGAATCCTCAGGGTACTTCAGAAAAACCTCATCTTTGTCCTGGGTCTCTCGCCAAGACTTGCCGACCCTGAGGTAAGCTATTAATGTGGGTGTGGCTTAGTATCATCCTCTCTCTTTCTTTTTTTCAGATTCTCAAGAAATCTGAATATTTCGGTAAATACGGCAAAATACATAAAGTTGTTTTAAATCATCACACCATATATAACGGATCACTAGTGAGTTATATTTGTTACCATTTAATTAATTAATTAATTAAGTATTAATTAATTATTATTAATTGATTAATCATTGTTATTATTATTATTATTATTAATTAGGGTCCGAGTGTGAGTGCTTATGTTACCTATCAGAGAGAAGAGGACGCACTACGGGCCATGCAGGCAGTCAATAATGCATTCATTGATGGAAGAATACTCAAGCAAGTCCATGTACTGTACATCTACATGTACAACACCTTTATAATGGGGACACCTTTATAATGAGGACACCTTTATAATGGGGACACCTTTATAATGAGGACACCTTTATAATGGGGACACCTTTATAATGAGGACACCTTTATAATGGGGACACCTTTATAATGAAGACACTTTTATAATGGGGACACCTTTATAATGAAGGCATTTTGTAATGACCTATACAAAAGTTCCTCTGAAATGATGATGGGGAGGGGCAGGGAAGGAGCTACACTTGAGTATTGAAGTGGTTGAATCCTAAAATTTCAAAAAATTAATAATAATAATTATTATTATTATGAAAGTCATTATCATAATTTTGAATGTTTCTTAAAAATGCAGGGCTTTACCCCTTCTAAAAATTGTTTGAGTGTATATCAGAAAAGATTTGGCGGAACCTTAATAGCATTTCAAATCCCAGTGTCCTTTTATACGCTATAAATTGTAAAAGGGTATAGTGGGTCGGACTGTTGTGGTCAACACTAAAACAACAAAACACATCAAATGTATATACATGTACATGTAACACCTTTATGATAAGGACTCCTTTATAAACAAGGACTCCTTAATGAGGACATTTTGTAATGTCCCAATTGGTACAAGCCTATACAAAAGTACCTCTGAAATGAGGACACCTCTGTATTAAGGACAGGTAGTGTGTGTCCAATGGTGTCCTTAATAAAGAGGCTACACTGTACATGTATTAAGGACAGGTAGTGTGGGCCCAATGGTGTCCTTAATAAAGAGGCTACACTGTACATGTATTAAGGAGAGGTAGTGTGGGCCCAATGGTGTCCTTAATAAAGAGGCTACACTGTACATGTATTAAGGACAGGTAGTGTGGGCCCAATGGTGTCCTTAATAAAGAGGCTACACTGTACATGTATTAAGGACAGGTAGTGTGGGTCCAATGGTGTCCTTAATAAAGAGGCCACACTGTACATGTATTAAGGACAGGTAGTGTGGGCCCAATGGTGTCCCTAATAAAGAGGCTACACTGTACATGTATTAAGGACAGGTAGTGTGGGCCCAATGGTGTCCCTAATAAAGAGGCTACACTGTACATGTATTAAGGACAGGTAGTGTGGGCCCAATGGTGTCCTTAATAAAGAGGCTACACTGTACATGTATTAAGGACAGGTAGTGTGGGCCCAATGGTGTCCTTAATAAAGAGGCTACACTGTACATGTATTAAGGACAGGTAGTGTGGGCCCAATGGTGTCCTTAATAAAGAGGCTACACTGTACATGTATTAAGGACAGGTAGTGTGGGCCCAATGGTGTCCTTAATAAAGAGGCTACACTGTACATGTATTAAGGACAGGTAGTGTGGGCCCAATGGTGTCCTTAATAAAGAGGCTACACTGTACATGTATTAAGGACAGGTAGTGTGGGCCCAATGGTGTCCTTAATAAAGAGGCTACACTGTACATGTATTAAGGACAGGTAGTGTGGGCCCAATGGTGTCCTTAATAAAGAGGCTACACTGTACATGTATTAAGGACAGGTAGTGTGGGCCCAATGGTGTCCCTAATAAAGAGGCTACACTGTACATGTATTAAGGACAGGTAGTGTGGGCCCAATGGTGTCCTTAATAAAGAGGCTACACTGTACATGTATTAAGGAGAGGTAGTGTGGGCCCAATGGTGTCCTTAATAAAGAGGCTACACTGTACATGTATTAAGGAGAGGTAGTGTGGGCCCAATGGTGTCCTTAATAAAGAGGCTACACTGTACATGTACATTACTTCTCTTTCTCTTCCTTTAGGGCGTCTTTTGGTACTACGAAATATTGTTCCTTCTTTCTAAGAGGACTTCAGTGCACTAAACCAGTATGTTAATTCACTTGTACACATACACTTCACCTCTCTCTCTCTCTCTCTCTCTCTCTCTCTCTCTCTCTCTCTCTCTCTCTCTCTCTCTCTCTCTCTCTCTCTCTCTCTCTCTCTCTCTCTCTCTCTCTCTCTCTCTCTCTCTCTCCCTCTCTCTCTCTCTCTCTCTCTCCCTCCCTCTCTCTCTCTCTCTCTCTCTCTCTCTCCCTCCCTCTCTCTCTCTCTCTCTCTCTCTCCCTCCCTCTCTCTCTCTCTCTCTCTCTCTCCCTCTCTCTCTCTCTCCCTCAGGACTGTATGTATTTACATGAGTTAGGTGATACTGAAGCTAGTTTCACTAAAGAGGACATGCAGCAAGGGTATATTCATACAATCTACATGTACATGTACTTTAAAATTTTTGTCCATCAAAAATTTCATCACATTTGTCTGAGCATTTCGTTTGACGAAAATTTTAGTGTTTGTTCCACGCAGATAGTAAGTGGGATTACACTTAATTATTATACAGAAATGACAAAAATTTTAACGATGAAAATCAATTTTAACATGAAATTAAGACTTGGATGAAATTTTAGCTTTAACCTTCATTGTGTACATTATTACACGTCCCTCTCTCTCTCTCTCTCAGGAAGCATCAAGATTATGAAATTGCTACATTAGAATCCCAATCAATAACAGTTAATAAAGAATACCCTCTGAAGAAGTACAATAGAGTTTTGTTTGTTTGTTTATTTATTTATTTATTTATTTCAGAAGTACTAGGAGCAAACAAGGAGGTCATACAGGAAGTGGTGGGAGTGGTCATAACAAAATCAATTCTAATAAAAGTACACATTAATGTTGTATTCTTAGTTTATTATTATTAATTATGTAGCCGCTCCTCCTGCTGAGTCAGCATTACCGTTGACCTCCAATTGGTAAGTGTATTACGCACGTCCAGTCCAAGGGGTCTGGAAATATTCGTTTATTTTTACATAAAAACATCAGTATACATGTACATGTATATTGGAAAATGTGAGACAAAGTTGGGGTGATTTTAGAGCCATTTAACACGGACTATATAGTATAGGCTATTTTCTGAAAAATGGCTCTGAAGTCACTTCAAATTTTTATTACATTTTCTGATACATATTGATGTCCTTATGCTGTGTAGAAAGTTTGAGCTGATTCCGACTTCAATTTTTTGAGTTATGGCCATTTTAAGAAAACACCATAAATCTGAAAAGTACCCAAGGCTATAGCCCATGGTTTTTTCCAAAAAATGGCTCCAAAATCACCCCCAATTTTTATTACATTTTCTGATACGTATTGATGTACTTATGCTGTGTAGAAAGTTTGAGGTGATTCCGACTTCAATTTTTCGAGTTATGGCCATTTTTAAAAGTACTCGTACATAGATGGCATTATACTGACCACACCCATTAATTACACTCTAGGGGTTCCAAGGGAGACAAACCTCGTAAAAAGGTTCACAAGCAGCTCAGTGTACCTCATCATTGCTCAGAGCCACGCCCCCTCCAAAGAACCCTCTCTAACCCCTCCTCCCGGTCCCACGAAGACAAAGACCCTCAGTCTCTGAGCACATCTCCTGCCAGTACCGTATCACTTGAGGGCAGACGAGAGAAAGGAGGAGGAGGGAGGGGAAAGAGAGGAGGGGGAGATAGTGTAGAAGAGGATGAGTCTCAGTATCATTTTGTGAGCACCAGTTCACAGTGCAGCGACGTTACAACTGATTTTGATGAAGAAGCAGATGATACTAGGAAAGAAGGACTTCAAGGGGGCAACATGGCTTCATCTTTTATTGGAAGAGAAGAGGAGGAGGAGGAGGAGGAGGGAGGGTACGATGATATTGAAGAAGAAGGAGAGAAGGTGGAGGAGAAAAGTGTCACTTGGAAGAGGAATGATGATGAAGATGAAGATAGCACAACTCTTAATGGTAATTAAGACCTTGTACATGTACATGTACTCTTAATTTTCTCTCTCTCTCTCTCTCCCTCAGTATTCAAGGCACTAGGTGTTTCTCCTACGGGTGGTCATGATTTTGGTAATCTTGGAGTCAGCTGGAGTAGGGACCCTCCTTCCCCTCATAGCTCAAAATCATTGTCTCAGAGAGACGGAGAGGGCCAGCTCTCATCCCCGCCTCCTCTACCCTCTTCCTCTCCTGTTTTCATGTCAATGCCGTGGGAAGTCCCTCATGAATCGAGTACTAACACATTAACTGACCTACTTAGCACAAACTGTAAGGAAGAGGGAGGGAGGGAGGGAGGGACTACACTAGACATGTATAGTATGTAGATGCACATGTCTTGCTATTCCATTCCTCAATAATTATATATACATGTATTTCTTTTCCTTCTCCAGATCGTGTTAGTCCACCGCTGATGTCCAAAGGTTTGGTCGATGAGAGACAAAGATTAGCCTCAGCTTCTTATGTTAACTATGGCCCAACGACTAACAATCATCTTGATGAACTTCATACCAAGAGTAGCATAGAGAGTCCCCGTTCCTCTCTACTCCTTGATAATAAAGTGGACTCGTTTCAGTCTTCACTAGATGATGATTTTCAATCTTTATTTTCAGCTGGTTCCATGCAGTCACTTGAAAACGCTCTACAAGTTACTTCATTGGACGTAACGTCCTCTGCTGGCCCCTCGTCCTCTTCTAAATTATTTAGTCTGTTCCAGAACCCCTCTCCTCCGTCTAGTGGAGGGGCCTCTACTGAAAGGAAGTCCTTGTTACCAACTTTAAATTTAACCCCAGCAGTCGGCCATTTTGATTCAGCTGGTACAAATGGGGAGTGGCCAAAATTTGATGATAATAATAGCAATAAGCAAAAAGGAGGTGAGATTATTATTATTATTATGTATAAAATGATATTTAATTCATTTTTGCTGTATAGGCACAACAATAGCACCTCCTCCTGGTTTTGGTAACTGTAAGCCATTTCCCAAGGCCACCACACCTACTTCAGCGTACACACTCTGGGGCGAAGGTACTTACCAGCAAACAAGTAAATTTCATTGTGACCACACAAAAATACACGTACACGTACAATTTTTTATAAATCAATTGTACAGAATTGACAATTTTTTATAGTAATAGTTTTCTATTTTTAGTTAACATTTGAAGCAGTCATCTCTCTCTCTCTCTCTCTCTCTCTCTCTCTCTCTCTCTCTCTCTCTCTCTCTCTCTCTCTCTCTCCCTCTCCCTCTCCCTCTCTCTCTCTCTCTCCTCTCCCTCTCTCTCTCTCTCTCTAGATAAAGATGATAAAAGCTCCAGTCTAGTCCAGGCTCCTCCATTGCCAGCTGCTCCTGGTTCAAGACCAGTCCCAATTGGAGCCATACAGCACAACCTACTGGAAGCATCTCTCTTCAATTCATCATCACCTAATTCTTCCTCCTCTTACTCACTAAAGAAGGTTCCAGAGACTCTTACCAGTAGCCATCATGTCCAGCAAAGACCCCAGCAGCACCAGCACCTGTTGTATCCTCCAGGGTCTTCTCCCCATGGTAACAAGACTCCGTTACTACCACAGCCAGTACAGCCTGCAGCTAAAACTGCACAGCAGCATAACTTGAAACAGCAGCAACAGAGGGCAATGTTACTAAGGCAGCAACAGCAGCAGCAGTACCAGAAGCACCATCAGGTCCAGCTAGCCGCCATACAACAGCAAATGTATCTTTATCAGCAACAGGTTCTTGCCCACCAGCAGGCGAGTGGAGGAGTGAGCCAAAAAAGACCATCATCTTCTTATCCACCAGCTGTAGTACCGGTACCCCAGTCAACAGCTGCTAATGCATACAAGACTGTACCAGTTCCTCATCAAACAGCTGCTAGCAATCCCCACCCAACCCCACTTTATTTTGGCGGTTGGTATCCAGCCTATGCTACCTGGGGCCTTCCTGCAGCCCCTGGACTTGCTGTGGCTCCTAGCGGACATAACATCGGTCGACTGGCAGGTGGTACAGTGCCTGGTTTGCAAGGAAGTAGGTCCGTGGCCGGTGTCACTGGTGTATTGGGACAGACACAGGGGATCCCCCCTTCTGGATCTCAGGTTGAACAAAAGTTTCAGAATACCACTTTGAATTAATAATCATTATAATAATAAATGTATTATTTATTATTTTAATTCAATTTACTGTTATAATGATTGGCATTGATTGCAAATCATCACTAAGAAGGTGGAGCTAATTAATTAGATGTATATGTAGGCGTTACCTTTTAGTTATTAGTGGTTATTAATGATAAAATGGCGGATGACAAGTCTGGATTTCTCAAAGGAGTTCCACTCCATCCTTTCCCCTTGCATTATTCTTCAGTCAAGATATACAGACATGATGTCCTTGGAAGAGGTTCCTACGGCTACGTCTGTCGTGCCAAAGCAGATCAATTGGATTGTGCAGCAAAAATGATCAACCCGATATTCTTTGAGATTGGAGGTAGTCCCGGGAGAGAAGAGCTCGAGAATCCAGAGAGGGCAATCACGGGTCGGTTCCTGGCTGAATGTGAGCTCCTCCGCTCTCTCCCTTCTCACCCAAACATTGTCCAGTTCATTGGAGTATGCAGGATAGCTGAAGAGATGAGAGGAGGAGAATATGGTCCCGTACTGCTAACTGAACTTATGAGTACCACTCTCTGGGATTATGTATCTTCCAAGTCACGTGATTTCACCCCCAAATCACGTGATAGAGCCCCCATACGTCCTGACTACATACCTCGTACCACTCAAGTAAAGATAATGAAGGACATAGCTGTCGCTCTCTCTTTTCTGCACGACAGGGACATTCTCCACAGGGACCTCTCCAGCAAGAACGTTCTCATGAAAGATGACGCTCCTAAAATCAGCGACTTAGGAATGGCTAAACTGAGAGATGTTACGAAAAGTCTCACAACCTGTCCAGGAACCCCTATATTCATGGCCCCCGAGGCCCTCTTAAATAATCCGGCCTATTCGACAAAATTGGACATATTCTCCTGGGGGGTCATATCTCTGCAGGTCATGAGTGGGCAGGAACCAGACCCTCTGTCTCCTTTTGTAGCGGAAGTGGATTCAGATGGACGGGAGCTAAGGATACCTGTCACAGAAACCGAGAGATGGAAAGACACTATAAAAGCTATAGACCCAGGCCATCCCTTGTTGTCCCTGGCTCTAGAGGCAATAAAGAATCGGCCGGAGAACAGACCAACTGCCAATGACTTGTGTTCAAAGATTGAAAATATTTTGCATAATTTGACAAGACGGCAGGAGAACTTTTATAAAGAAGAGAGAGGAGAGAAGAAAGAGAAGAGAAAGGAAGAGGGTGATGTTAAAAGTGTAGGTCCTTGTTTGCTTTATTCCGCTGCATCTTCTAGTAGCGACAGAATTAATAGTGATATTGAAACCAGCCCTCCTTCTACCCCGTCCACCCTCTCTCCTCCATTATCTTCTCCTGATTCTCGGTCTATTCTCTTCAGCGACACTTTCAATTGGACGTCTATTAAAGACTCTGCCCCTTGTCATTTTATGGGCGGGTCCGTAACGACCCTTGCTGGTAAGGTATATGCTTCAAGGCCTCATTCTAGTATTATTCATGAATATGATCCAGAGACACTTACGTGGTCTGTCCTACCTTCTCTTTGTCCGGTGGAAAACTTTACTCTTGTGTCTCACATTGGTAAAGTCCTTGCAGTGGGTGGAGTCAAAGGTGTGGCTTATAGCGGGGAGCACCGGAAGGTTTCTAATGCAGTGTATGCGTGTGACGTTCTCTCATCAAATCTCTCGTGGACTGATACTCTTATTAGTTCCATGTATTACCCTCGCTCCTTGCCAGCTGCTCTCTCTTCAAAGACGTATCTTGTTGTGGCAGGTGGCCTTGACGACAAGAGCTCCCCTGTCTCTCATGTAGAGATACACAATGGCTCTTACTGGTACACAAGCAGTAGCTTACCTGTGCCTTTTTCAACACTCTCTGCTGTCATAGATAATAATGATATCATATACATCACTGGAGAAGTAAAAGGAAAGGGTTCAGTTCTTTGCAGTGCTGCTCTGAGCCGTCTTTATGGACAAAGCTCCAGCTATTACAAGCCATTGTTCAGCGTCTGGCAGAAAATGGAGTCTCCTTTATCAGGAGGTTCACTTGTTGTAGTGAGGGGGGATCTCTTTCTTATTGGTGGTTACGATGCCTCTCATTCTAACGGGTACCCACAGTATAATGGGAACATTTACCAGCTCAAGAGAAAGGAGAAGAAGTTCAGCATTGAAGAGGGGCCCGAGGCTAGAGGCCGTTGCCTAGCGACGCAGTTGCCTAGCAACAGAGGTGTGATGGTTTTTGGAGGAAATGGTCAAAAGAGCATTAACATTGGACAAAGATAGTGCTATAAGTGTAGAGTGTGTGATAAACTCCTGTATGTGTTATATAAAGAATATAATTGTTTTTTATGTGCAATTTTGATAGTTGATGATGAATAATTCAATGTAACTCAGTGTTGATGATATTCATTGCCCACTATTCAAACAATGTCTTTGTTATGTAATGAACATGTGATCACAACTACAGCTGAGCATCTGGACTTGCTTTACTGGTTATCAAAGGTCAATTTTCCTGTTTAACCAGTTTTTAAAAAGGTCAAGTGGTCAAGGATTTTTTATCAGATCCTACACAACAAGATTCCCCTGTATAACCACTCCTTATGACAACAATTGCTGATAATGTCCACCAAACAAAAGAAACTAAAAAAGGTCACCTTCTTTTTTAACATTCTAAACAACATTGTCGCTGAAAAAGATTTCAAATAAATTAAAGTAAAAACCAGATAATAAATACAGAACATTACTATTTAACATAAGTACAATAATAGTATAATGATCGCATATACATTGAATGACACTAGCAGCTCTCAGTTCATTCAGCAGCTGCTGTCTTCTTTCTTTAGCAGCTCATGAAGATCATCCATAACTTTCTGTAGATTGGTAATATATCTAGCACCATCATGAGTTGGGTGACTCACAATATAAATACCTGGAGAGAAAAAAGAAAGAGAGAGAGAGAGTGATCAGTAATATCCTCCTTCTCTTACCTATAAACTCCTCATATATGAAATAAGTAATCCCAAATGAGTTATAGTTAAAAGGCGCAAATCCTCCAAAGTTAGCAGATGTGGTTGGATAAGCTGACGTAGCTACATCAACGGTACTAAAGTGCTGATAACCTTTGTCACTAAAGAAGGGAAGAGAAAGTCCCTCTGATTCTGCTAGACACTTTAAAGCAAACAGGTGCCTATCAAATCCTCTACCTAAAACATGAATTTTTAATAATAATAATAATAATACTTAATTTTTATTTATATACCAGTTGCTCCTTTCTTGATCAGATCTGAATTAAATGTGACAGCATTTCGTATTAATGATATCTTTTCATCATCACTAACACCTAATAATAAATAAATTAATAAACAAACAAACAAATAAATAAAATAACAAACAAATAGATAAATAATGTGTTTACCTGATCCAGGCTCCATTGCTTGAACTGCTTTAAGAGCATGGACTGACATTGGTCGTACAGTTTCCGTACGTCCGTGAAGAAAAGCAGCTGTACTGCAAGCCTCAGAAAGTGATGGGAGCTTTCTGTGCTCACGATAATAAGCAATTTGGAATGAGAGCTGGATCAGGCCATCGCTACTCATTCTTTTGGATTTAATGAATCTTTTGTTCAGCGAAAAGTGATTGAAATTATGAAAGAATAATCCAGCAGCAATCTGGGCAGCATCATCCCTCCCTTTCTGTATCAACCTCTTTAAGCTATCCGAAAGTGAGAACTCTAGTTTCACTGGCTGGAGGGTTTCATCCAGTGACTCCAGTGCTTCAGGAAAAGGTGCTTTGATGCAGTTGGTGTAAAGGTAGTCAAACAGAGGAAGAAGAGATCCGCCTGTGAGAGAGGAGTGCTCAAAATTGAATCCATAGTGACAATCCCGAGTGACAATCAGCTGGAGCGTTTTATCAAACCACCTGTAAATTATTAGCATTTGAAATTTGAATAATTACATAAATATTAATATAACATATCAGTTAACCTGTTGTATCCATTATTATGAAGAAATATTTTCCCCAATTCCAGTTCGCTCTCAGTTTTATCGTCAACACACAACACAAGAATTGAACTATCAATAGTCTTAAGGAGGGAAGCATTGTCACCAATGGCGGCCAGTTCTTCCCGAGCTTTAGCGCATTCACTGCGCTCCATGGCAGTGATGAAACCAACTGGGAAAGAAGGAGGAGTCACGGAATCAGACATGATGTGCTCAATAGCTGTGAATATCGTATTCAGGTCAACTGACTTTCCTAATGAATGAAAGACAAAGTGATGATTGAAGAACTACAGTCAAATACCAATGACTTAGTGACACTGTAACTATGCTTTTGTACAGTGTAGCCTCTTTTTAGGAGCACAACCTACCTGTCCTTATTGATACAAAGGAATGTCCTCATTTCAGAGGTATACACTTTTGTATAGGCTTGTACCAATTGGAACATTACAAAATGTCCTCATTATAAAGTTGTCCTTGTCTCAGGACATTCTTATTGTATAAGCTACAGACTCACCATCTGTTCCAATGACACGAAGACTATAGAAGTGTCCATTGGAGGTTATAACAACATGACTACTCTCCTTATAGTCGACTATCCTGTCAATCTTGTGTCCTGGGAGCCTTGCTTTACAGAACGCGTTACATATGATTGACATGTCCAATGGTATGATATTCATCATGTATGCTCCATATGATGATATGTATTCCGGTAAAAACCTATTTTAGAAAAAAAAACAAAAATATCATATGTTGTTTATCTTCATTATTGTTATTGAAAAAGAAAGAAAACAGATATTAGTATGAGACATAGAACAAAAACAAAAGCACAAAAGAGTAAACATACTACCTCAATAAATTGAAGAATCTGTCTTTCTTTTTACCATTTAAACAAAAGACTTGAGGCTCCAGCACTTTATCCCTGAGCATGATGTAGTACTGTACAGCAGTCCAAAGGAATTGAGCTACTTTTACATTCTAAAAATTAAAATAATAATAATCAAATGGCCACACGTGGGTCCATACTTGAGGAGGATTTCGAGTATCTTGCTTTCCTATCCCAAATGGGTTAGTGTGTATTAGGGAGGAACGACTCTTTAGGTATTTATTTTTCAGATACTCTAATATAATATAATACTATGATAAAAGAGGCACACAAATGTTCTATTTACCAGCTGTAAAGTTAGTATGCCTGTTAGCTTGATCTTGCTTTACTAATCTCTCATGCAATCCTAAAAGAGCAATGAAATTAACTACTGGATTTCATAGTAAAGAAATCATGGAAGAGTATCTCAGTACACTAAAAGGTCAAATGACTCAAATCTCTACTATAAAAACGAAGCCACAGAATGGATTCATAAGTAAACAGAGTATGTTAACTGGGTATGTATCTCTCAGAGCTCTTTATAAAACCTTTGTATAATAAGTGCAATTATCCACTCTTGGTACAATGTGCAGGTTGAAAAACATCCTTGTTTTATTAAAGATGTCCTTATCATAAAAGTGCCTGTCTTTATAATGAGGGTTCCTTTTTACAAAGGTTACTGTTAGCATGATGCTATGGCTGCTAACCTCTTTTACAGTCTATGCAAGCAATTAGATCTTCTTGTATGAATGTAAACACACTGTCATGTGATTTGTATAGGCTTACTCCATCCTGTTGACCCCTTGCTTGAAAATTCTTGAGTTAGTTTATGCGTAGTAGCAAATGCTTCTTTATCAAGGAGGCCTTCCTGGGCTGTTAGGTACTGCTGACAAGTTTCTCGTAGTTTGGGTAGGGGCAGACGAGGAAGGCTAGCTTGAAAATGAAACGTAGAGACACGACCAAGTTGCTTAAACCTGTAAAGCAGGAGTGACTAGTGAAACAAGTTAATAACAATGAGCTTGTACATACTTTGTGACAATAAGAGCTGATTTCTTTGAGAGGTGAAAACGAATACTTTTCACCTACATGAAATGAGACCATTAGTTTATATAATGCAAAATGCCGCGACTAGTACTACAAGGAGATTGTTTAGTGTATCTACACTTACAATAGACACGAGGAGAAGGCCCCAAAAATATCTAAAGATGACTTGTGTTAGTTCAAGAGGTAAACAATCAGTAGTCATTAGAACCATGATGGCGGCTTGATGAATGGTAACGCTTTCTTTGTCTCTCTCTCTCTATCTTGACCTTTTCTTCTCTAACCTTTCTTTTATATGTCCTCCTGCTGACTAGCTATTATGATCAGCAGTACATGGACAGCATTAATACACCACGCAATTCCAGCGTGGTACCGGTACCGTGACTCCCAAGATGTTTAAAATGTTAATTTATAAAGCCTTTTAATCAAATTCCTGACCTTTTGCATCTATTAAAACATGGCCGCTAGGAATTGGCAACTGTATTTGGACGTTATATTTCGAATAATAACATTTATTGCTGTCTTCATTCTCTTTGTACTATTCACTGTTCTAAAGGACGTTGTAGATCCAAGAATAGTCGGATTCTTTTGTGATGATAACAGCATACGTTATCCTTATAAGAATCACCAGTCAGTTCCTGATTGGAGCTTGTATCTGCTAGTACTGGGGACTCCTACCATTGTGGTAAGAATCTATGAACATTTGTACTGTCAGGCTAAGACCGTGTACTATAGTACGGGGGTAGTCTCGTGAGCCAGACCATTCCCAAATGACTGTAGATCTGGCTAGCGAAACTAAGTATTACAGGGCTTGCAAGGTACAGTATATGGTCTTTCATCAAATTTTGAGCAACTTAAAAGTTCATAATAAATCCATTTTTGATCAGAATCAATTCAAACTTTCCACACAACATAAAAACATGTATATGTATCAGAAAACAATTATAAAAATGGAGAATTCTTTTTTGGCAAAATTTGGCCAATGACCCTGTACTATGGTACTCTTAAATTTGTAGATGGTTCTTGGTATGCTGCTAGAGATACTCACAAAGAAATGCAAGAGAGGACAAGACAGCAATAGAAGCAGTCGTCTCCTTTATAAGCAGATGATACTGAAAGCTTGTCTCTGGTTTTATTGGTTCTTGATTGGAATTGCATTGACCGATATCATCACAAATATCGTCAAGATGTATTTTGGTGAACTCCGACCTCATTTCCTTGCCGTCTGTGATCCTGATTGGTCCCTCATCAATTGTACTAACGAGTATGGACACTATGTTTACGTTACCAATTACACTTGTCGTGGTACAGCTGCTATGGTGAGAGAGGCAAGGTGAGGAAGAAGAGAAAGAACAATTTGAAATTTATCTTTTTAATTGTAGGCTCTCATTTCCATCCGGTCATTCCTCAAGCATTGCCTTCTCTATGGTTTTTACAGCTGTAAGTCTCGTCAAGCAGTATTCATCATAACTATCCTTTTCTCTCCTAGTTTTACATATCCTCCATTGACATAGTACACAGGAGGTCCCCTGCTCAGTTCTTCCTTCTTACAATGTACGGAGTACTCTTTCCTTCTCTAGTTGCATTGTCAAGAATTGATGATCATCGTCATCACTTTCGTGATGTCATTTTTGGCAGTTTACTTGGAATTTTTCTTGCAAGCATTTTAGTAAGTCTCTTGTTCCAAATGAATGCATTAATGTGTCCTTATGTTCAATTATAAACTATGTATTTTTTTTTGGGTTCAGGTATTTTTCTCTCTCGAGTATTTTGAGCTTTGGAAAAAGAAAGTGAAAAGTAAAGAAGAAGAAGATGAAGAAGAAAGATTGCAGGAGGTTGTGAAAGATAAAGATTGAGTAGAATTATAACAACTTTATTTTCATCATTATCGTCATTTTTTGTAAACTTTAATTTTGATTCAGCAAAAGGGTGGAGCTGAGTGTGGGTGTGGCTAACTGCGTGCAATCTTGCTTGCAGTTTTCTCTCTCCTTGAATGGATATTCCTTCAAACAGTCCAACTGACATTAGGAGACAGAGCCACCTACCTACTCCTCAAGAATTAAAAGACTTCATACAAGATGGCGGACAAGAAGGCACTAGTCCCTCAGTATTGGAAAGACGGTCAGGAACATGCCATTGTTTCTCATTATCACCAAAAGCTAATGCATACAAGAACGTTCTTGGAGTTGGTCTCTCTTTCATGTTAGTGACAAGCAGCGTGCTAGCCTTAGCTAGTTTACAGAGCTCTCTTAATGATGAAGAAGGGCTGGGGCTAGCTACACTAGCCATTGGAAGTGCCTCCTTCCTCATATCAGGTTTATTCTCCTCTTCTGTCATCAAAGTATTCGGTACTAAGTACACCATTATACTCGGCTATGTCTCATCCCTGGTCTACGTACTCACTAATTATTATCCACGGTGGTATACGCTGGTACCCGGTGTCGTTAGCTATGGGCTTGGCCACGGTCCTAATCTGGCGGCCATTAATGTACATGTCACAATAATAGCAGTGAAATACGCTCCTGTCTTCAAGGAGAAGACCGATCATTTGATTGCTTTCTTTACCGGGATGGCCACCATGTTTTTTAGACTAGCGTTTATCCCTGGTAACCTAGCAACTACTGTTATTCTGTTTAGCGAACGATCTAATTCTGACATGGATATCATTGACTCCTCCCTGGGCCCTGTCTGCAATAACACAGAGTTCCAATCACTTGAACCTGGCTACGTTTATATCCTGCTCTCGTCTTTTGTCGCCATGGCGATTGTTGCCATAGTGATTGCGTTCTTTTTAATCGATAATCCTGGAACTGACTTTAAGTATCAGTCCTGTCGACGGTTTTTTGGTGTTTATTTGAAGGAGCCGATTCTGTCAACTTTCAAGATGTTCCTTGATTGGAAGATATACCTGCTACTGATAATGGTGATTGTAACATCATTTACTACAGCGACTGTGATAGGAAAACTATCAAAGGTTTCTATTGACAAGAAATGCTATAGACAAAATCATTATTGTGTGTCTGTCACATTTAATAATGATGTTAGGCCAGTCAAATTAGTCATGCTTTCTCTCTCTTTCTCTCTTCCCTCCTCTCTCTCTCTCTCTCTCCCTCCCTCTCCCTTAGGTATATGTATCAGATTGTATTGGTGTCCATTGGGTTGGTCTCTTTTCACTGACGTATGGTACATGCAGTGGTATATCGGCCATAGTAACTGGTCGACTGGTCAAATACATTCCTCAGTTCCTAATGGTGTATGGATTCTCTGCTCTGATGATTGGGACTGTATTCCTCCTCCTTTTCATGGATATAGAGCCAAGCTATGCTTTAGCCTTTGTTCCAATAGCAATCATTGGTCTTTGTGATGGAATGTGGCATACTCTGCCACCAAGTAAGTCCTTTCTCTATTAATTCTTTTATGACCTTTTCTTTGTACTTGCCCTCTCTCTCTCTTCCTCTACAGCTCTTGTTGGCATCCTGTATCCATTAAAAAAGGAGCCTGCTTATTCAACAATAAGAATGGGACTAGCAGGAGGGCGTGTCTTGGGGTTTTTATTAGGTACCACGTGCACCTAGAACTCATCTTTATTTTATTTATTTGTAGGTCTTTTCTTTCCAGCGAGTGTTTCTCTCTGGACTGAAGTTGTTATCATTACTGTTGCTGTACTAGCTTACTCGATACTAGTCTTTGCTACGCAAAGCAAGCAGCAATTATTACCGTGTCTTTATTTATCAAAGAAAGACAGCAAAACAGCAGAAGATCATAATTAAGAATTATATTCATGATAATTCATCAATAGTCAAAAATTATTCATTATTAGAAAATTATAATTAATTTTAGTGGGAAAGGATGGGCTGGTTATTGCAAGTCAGCTGATTTCATCATCTCAAAAATGGAGGTCTCTCCTTCAAACAGTCTAACCGACATTAGGAGACAGAGCCAGCTGCCTACTCCTCAAGAATTAAAAGACTTCATACAAGATGGTAGACCAGTGACTAGGAGGCCCTCAGTATTGGAAAAACAGTCAGAAACGTTCCAGTGTTTATCACTATCACCAAAAGCCAAGACTTACAAGAATGTTCTTGGAGCTGGTCTTTCTTTCATGTTAACTATGAGTGGCTTGGTATCTCTCGTGTCCCTACAGAGCAGTTTAAACGATGCACAAGGACTCGGGCTGGCCACACTGGCCATCATGAATGCGTCTTTTCTTGTTTCTGGTCTATTTGCATCATCCATCATTCGTCTATTGGGCACAAAATACTCCATCATTTTTGCTTTCTCTCTCTCACTCGTATATTCCCTCACCAATTTCTACCCGGAGTGGTATACGCTGGTTCCTGGTGCCCTATTTTTTGGGTTCTCCGAAGGCCCCATGTTTGCCGCCATGAACACTCATGTGACAACCATCGCCATCAAATACGCCCCCAAACTAAACGAGAATCCAGATCATCTCATTGCATTCTTCAACGGAATAATAACAATGTTTTTCAAACTGTCATATCTACCTGGTAACCTAGCTACGACGGCCATTCTATTTAGTGAACGCTCCAGCTCTGGTGCTGATATTATCCAGTCTCCTCTGAGTCCAGTCTGTAACAACACTGAGGTTGAGACACTAAACCCGACATACGTCTACATCCTCTTGTCATCTTTTGTCACACTTGCTGTCTCTGCCATTATAATTGCTTGTCTCTTTGTGGATCATCCTGGTGCCCTTAGGTCTAATACTCCAGCTGTTAGGTTCTATCTGAAGGACCCTGTGATGGCTACAGTTAGGATGATATTAAATTGGAAGATTTTGAGTATTTTTCCAATGACACTTCTCTCTTCATTTACAGCTGCTACTCTCAATGGATTATTGACAAAGGTAAATATGGAATTTACACTCTTCTCTCTATAACCCTCTTTCTCCCTCAGGTATATGTATCAGACTGTATCGGTGTCCATTGGGTTGGTCTCTTTTCACTGACGTATGGTACATGCAGTGGTATATCGGCCATAGTGACTGGTCGACTGGTCAAATACATCCCTCAGTTCTTAATGGTGTATGGATTCTCTGCTCTGATGATTGGAGACCTGTTGTTCCTGTTATTGTGGGATGTCAGTCCAAGTTATCTCAAAGCATTTCTACCGGTGGCTGTCTTAGGCGTATGTGAAGGAATGTGGCATGCAGTACCGCCAAGTAAGTCTTGTAGTAAATTAATTTGTAGCTAAAATTTTGACTGCTGGAAAAACAGACCATAAAATGGGGTGTATTGTTGTCAAAGATTGCTATACAACAAAATTCTGTTTTTATATTCTGATCAAAATTAAATTTTTTACAAATTTGTAAAGAACATGTACTACTGTAGCACAGGTTTTTGGCTTAAGATTTTGGCCCAGAAAGGATCAATATATTTGGGATAGTATGAAACCAATCTCAACTGTAATACTATTATTATAATTAGGTTTATAATCCACTATATATATATATATATTTATATATTCTTATTTATTTATGTTTCCATACCACAGCCCTTGTAGGAATGATATTTCCTGATGAGAAGGAACCAGCTTACAGTGCCATACGTATGGAACTGGCGATTGGTTACACTTTAGGATTTGCGGTGCCTCTCTTTGCTAATGTATATGCATCCATTTGGATTATGCTATGTCTGGTCATTAGCTCTGTCCTCTGCTATTCTGTTCTTGTTTTCCTTACACTTAGCAAAGACCAGCTGTGTCCTTGCTACAAGTCAGGCAGCAAGAAAATTTCAAACTAATTATTGTTCATTGATAGGTGTTAATTTTTGTTTTAATCTCATCATGATTTATCATTTTTGATTTTATCATCACAAATCACTTATGTATAATATTGATGTTTTTAATTCCTTTCTGATCAATTATTTAAATTATAATAATTATTTAAATTATAATAATTATTAATAAATAATAATAATAATAGACAAAGAGTGATTGTGGAGGGAGAGAGGGACTAGTGATGCGAAATACAGCTGCTTAAAAATATCAAATTATTAATTATTTTAGTTATTAATATCAGGTGTAGCTCCAGTTAAATGACCAGTTCTTTGCTGATCGGTACTGCCTTCCAAGTGGGCAGAACTCTCACTTGCTGACCTAAACAATAATAATATAAAATATACCAGTAAAATTCCATTTGATCATTATAGTTGCTTATCATGTAAAACAGCAGGTGTTGCTTTACCTCAAAGCTTTCAGTACATGTACAATAGCACTGGGAGCAACGTTCTCTTTCAGCAGTTCCAAAATCTAGCCAGTGAGCAGGTGAGAAAAGTTTTTAAAAATATTTATATGATGCTTACAACTTTGAATAAATCATGATCTAAAGGCACTTCACTTAGTTCCACTAGTTCGAATAGTTCCTCTGTTCCAATTAATAATTATAACACAGAGAAAGGAGCTCGCTTACTCTCATAGGAAGACTTCTGGAAGGACTTCGCAGAAAACTTGTACCTTTCTTTACCACCTTCAGCAGCCATTTAAAAATTAATAACTAGTTATAACTATTATAATAAGTTATAACTATTAATAACTATTGATATTTTTAATAACTGGTTTTAATAACTGATCGGGTTAAAAATTATAATAAAAATTAATTTTTTACAATTTTCAGCATTTTAATTTTAGCTAGACATGCTAAAGCTCTGTAAAACTCCATTGGAAAGAATAGGATCCTCCAGTACCGTGTTATCCATTGCTGTAGGCAGTACCTTATACTTTGGTTGCAAAGAAAACAGGTACAATTTATATTAAACAATAATTAAATTTTATTACAAATTTAGTGCCTTGAAAAATAATGAAATTGGTCAACATTCACATTTTTCTTTCGATCGACTTTCGTCTTTTTCCTCTCCTGTCGTCACTCTTCAATTCAGTGGGTGTGGTCAATATTTAGCGACAAGTTACGAAGATAAAACCCTAAGGGTGTGGTCACTCTTGGACTTGAACGAAATAGCAAATTGGTAAAAAAATAGCTTGTTATTCTCCATTTTGAAATTTTTTTAGTTCATTGCCTAAAAGAGCAACATCTTTACTTTTCTCAAAAGACAGTAAATATTTGTTAGCAGCTGATAAAACTGGCGACATCAAGAGGTACGTAATGTCGTCCTCATTATAAAAATAGTGTAGCTAAATATTGATCCTTCTTGAGCCAAAACAGTTATAGTACAACTTTAAAAATTCGTAAAAAATCCAAACTTGATCGGAATCAGTTCAAACATTCTACGCAACATAAGTACATGTATATGTATCAGGAAAAAATATTAAAATTGAGAATTCTTTCCTTTTCATTTTTGATGAAATTTGACCAAAATCCCTGTACTATAGTACAGGGACTTTGGCCGGATTTTTGAGCAACTTCAAAAATTCGTAAAAAATTCAGATTTGATTGGAATCCACTCAAACTTTCTACATAACATAAAGACATGTATATGTATCAGATACAATTATAAAAATGGAGAATTCTCTCCTTTCATTTTTGCCGAAATTTGACCAAAATCCTTGTACTATAGTACAGGGACTTTGGCCCGATTTTTGAGCAACTTCAAAAATTCGTAAAAAATTCAGATTTGATCGGAATCCACTTAAACTTTCTACACAACATAAGAACATGTATAATCAGAAACAATTATAAAAATGGAGAATTCTCTCCTTTCATTTTTGCCGAAATTTGACCAAAATCCCTGTACTATAGTACAGGGGCTTTGGCCAGATTTTTGAGTAACTTTTAAAAAATTATGCATATTATCAAGAGTGGATAACTATCCACTCTTGATATTATTCACATCATAATGCATGTATACTTTATTTTGCTATTTTTTGGCGCAGTGTTCTTTATTAACAGCAGCTGCTATCTGAACTTTATTCTTCCATTTATAGATATGAAGTGTGTCAATCAATGAAACTGGATGAGTCAATGCTTCTCGGCCATTCTTCATTTGTTTTAGATACAGTTAGCTTCTTCGTTATCAGCTGTTCATTCTTCCCTTCTCTCTCTCTCTCTCTTTCCTTCAGAGTCTGTTACAACACACTGATAGCAATGTATTCATTGCTACCTGTGACAGGGATGAAAAAATTAGAATATCAAACTATCCGAATTCTTACAACATCCATACTTATTGTCTTGGACATAAAGAGTATGTCACTCAATACTTTTTAACTTTACTGCCTCACTCTCTTCTCTCTTTCTTTTGGTGTCCCTTTTTCTTTGAAACAGTTTTGTCAGTAGGCTATGTACTTGTCCTGCCTACCCTCACCTGCTCCTGTCAGGATCAGGAGTAAGTTAAGATGTATAACCATTCACAAGATTTGCTTTATTTATTTATTCATTCACAATTATATTTATTTATTTATTGGTAGGACGGTACAGTTTGTGTATGGGATTGGTACAATGGGTCAATGGAGTGTTCTCTGTCCCTCTCCAGCCGTGGTGGGGCAGAAGAGGAGGTAGTGACGTGTGCACTTTCTTATTATTACTTTAACTTAATGTGACCCTATCACGTTCCTCCTCTTCTAGGACCCTCCACCTGTGATAACTGAGCTTGCCTGCTCTCCTGGAACTCCCCCTATTGTTGCCATGACAACTGATAGGTACGCTGTTACCTGATTCGTTAACGGTTTCTATGGTTACAGGTAGCAAGGATTCCGTTACATTGGCTGGTCTTAAAGAGACTGGGCAGTTGGGTCTGACAGGACGTATCGAGTGTGAGAATGTACTGGCATCTCAGTTTGATTTGGAGGGGAATCTCTGGCTATTGAGAGTCAATCCAGCTGGTAAAGCTGAAGTGTTGGTTTACAATATCAGTGAGAAGGGAAAAGTAAACAATAGCTTTATTTATTTATTTATTTATTTATTTATTTTTGTGTTAGGCTGATTTAGTCTCGTCTGATTCATTTCTTGATTGTATCAATAAAGTGTTAGAATCATGCGACGGTTAGTCACTAATCAAACGTGTGAATGAAATCCTTCTTCTCTCTCCCTCTCTCATTGTCTCTTTCTCTATGTCAGAGTCTCCTAGTTCCATAGTTGACTGGCCTTCGCTACGTAAACGTGATTTTGATAACATTTCTGCCTATTATGCAAAGAAGGAGGAGAGAATTAAAAATAAAAAGATTAAGTTGGACCCATCAGAAGATGAATCTGTGAAAACATGACATGTGTGTGCATTCAATAATAATTATTATTTATCATGAATACTATTATTTTCTTATTCAATTCTTTATCTGTTAATTGTTTCAGCACAATCACTCCTCTTCCTCTAAAAGTCCCCTTTCCTCCTTCCTCCTTTTACAAATTGACTATAATGCGATGATATGAAAGTGTTCTGTATAGTCTGCACTCCTTTCCTCTTACTACATTCTGCGTCAATGGAGTATGCAACTTGCATGAGCTCCATCTGTCACTGAAGTATAGTTATACTGATGCTATCAGTTATTTAAAGGGCAACCATTATATGCAATACAGTCTTAGGTGTAAGATTATCAATAGGACACAAGTGTGTGTGTGTGTGGTCTTGAGAAGTAGGAGGTTATGGAGATTAGGTTATGCAAACAGTAAGAGGTGCAAGGGGAGGATGCACACTCCATTATCATACAACTTAAGTAAACTTTCCTCCTCTTTTTGCTTCGTTAGCTCTGGAATTTAATAAACTACGATATAACTAGAAGGTATCAGTATAGAGTCTCCATTATTTGTAGTACAGAGCTTCAATCGTCTGTTTGTCAATTGTGAATTGTCTTTATCTGTAGCACAGAGCTTCAGTTATCTGTAGCTAAGAGATGAGGACCTTCAACAGTGTTATTCTCCTACTCTTCATTGCAGGAACTTCTGTATGTCCACTTTTCTCTTTTTTTAGGTTGCACTTTTAATTATGTTAATGTTTCTCTTCATCTCTTTTTCTAGGTTAATGGTTACATACAGCATTATGGTGTTGATTTTTTAAATGTTACAGTCCACGTGAAATTCTCAGGAGCTTGCGATGTTGCAAGCGACTTTACAACGACTGTAGCAAATGCCCCACGAGGCAGTTCAATATTAAACATTTTGGAGCGTGCCAACACTCAACCTCCTTTTTCTACCTTTGAGGTGTTGTATGGCGTCCATAACACAAGCTACATTTTAGTTAGCATTAATGGGAAAATAAATAATGTATCGTGCAATTGGTACGTGTCCACAGATCCAGTGACGTCCAGTGAAACTGGGTTCTTTCCGTTGAGCGACGTCCTGGTGACTAACATGGGAATGGAAGTTACTTTCGACTACAAAGCTAGCAGCGAAGAAAAAGTATTGCCACGAACAACTTCTGTGAAAAATGCCAATAATCAAGTGGTAATTATTAACTATAATTTATAGAAACCATTATTTGTGTATTTTCCTTTATCTAGCCCTCTTCTGATATTGGTCATATTGATTACAATCTTCAAGGCACTTCACCTTGCTCTATTGAGAGAGTTAGTTTTCCAAGCACTCCATTGGAATTGTCCTTCAGATATGGCGAGTCGGCACTCAACGTTGTAGAAACTGCTATGAACATTGAACCAGAATATAACGTAGTCCTTCAAAATTTCTTTGGAATTCATTACATCGTCAAATCGTTTGGGAGTCATAGCGTACCCGGTTGCCAGTGGTGTCCGTACTTCACTCCACCTGGTGGATCCCAGTATCCACTTACAGCAACCATTAGCAACTTCATAATTCCATTGACTGGCGGTACTTTGATCTATAGCTACGAGCAATCATGTGGAAGCAGTGCTACTGCAGATCTTCACAGCATCATGGATCAATACAATGGAGCTAATGGGCATTGCTATGAAGGAGGTTGCGATTCGCAATGAACATGTCATGACTGATAACGTAGGAATGACATTTTAGTAGAAAACATGTAGTTAGATCTATTATTATTATTGTTATTTTGCTGCTTATTAACATTTTCAATACATTTAGATCCAAGCTATACTATTATTGTCTAAAATGATAATTATTTTCCTTTGATGTGTTCACATGCTTTGTACATGAACATGAACTCTGAGAATTCTAAAAATTCAGCTAGTAAATACAGACAGCTTTATTTCATTAGATCAGTTTTCATCTTTCAGACTTCTCCAGACTTCCTCCTTCATAACCTAATCAACATACCTTCAATAATCCTTTCAACAATGTGGTGCTAACTAGCTGCCACATCAAACAGAAGACACTGCATTGCCACTATAGCCAGAGGTGCTGGATATCACACAAGCGCTTCCATGGAGTCTTATATAAGAAAGAGAAGGTAGATCTAAACTGGCAGACAGGAGCTATAGTGAGACAAAAATTCCTTGAATCAGAATAGTGAGTAGTCATCATGTTGCTGTTAGTACCACTAGTCCTCTTTATTGTTGAAATGAGCTTATCACATGTAAGTTGTTCTTTTTCAAAACACTTAAATCATCACTCTCTTTTCTTCCTTGCATGTAGGCTTTCATTCATCATTTTGGCATTGATGCTTTTGATGTTAGTGTTCATGTGGAGTATGACTCAGCTTGCAGCACAAACAGCAACTTCAGCCAAATTGTGAATGTCCCAAGAGGAAGCAGTTTATTAAATGTCTTGGAGCACTCTAATCAGCTCTATCCAGTCTTCAACGGTTTCAAAGTTCTCTACATTGCAAACTCAACCTATTTACTGACCAGTATCAATAGTGACTCTGTCACTCCATCTTGCCATTGGACAGTTAAGACTGATCCTCCAACCATCAATCCATCCATCACTGATGAAAGAATATACATAGTAACTGTTGATGGTATCACTAACCTCTCACCACTTGGTCTTAATAATGTGTACGTTACCAATATCGGCATGACAGTGAAATTTGTGCTTGAGACAGTCCCGGATTATCCTGAGAAGAAAGTCCATAAACAAGAATGGCTGAACAAACTCAAAGGAATCAATATGACAGTAATTGGATTATAATTGTATTTTATTTTTAAAATATTTATTACTTTTGACAGGATTTACAGCAGTCAGCACCAAACATTAGTGTCCAGTATGAGGTAACTGGAACTACTTCAATATGTCCCCTGCCCTCCTTTGCTGGTAGAAGAGAAATACCTTCAACTCCATTAACCCTCTCTATACCAGCTGGGGCCTCCGCTCTTAATGTGATGGAAGCAGCTGTGAACTTGGAACCAGCTCATAATTTCATTCTCAAGAACATATTTGGAAAGTACTACATTGTTGATAGCATTGGAGGGTCTTCAACATCCGGTTGCGTCTGGTGTGGGTACTTCACTCCATTGGCTGGGCCACCAGCTGCTCCTTCTTACCTCCTTACTGCCGATATCAATAATTTCATAATCCCACTCTCGGGCGGAGCCCTCACCATGCACTACGATACATCATGCAGTGCTGCTTTGGATCATTTCAAAAGAGGCATATTGGATTTTAAGATCCCTCTACCACCTCACTACAACCCATTCATGGTCTTTAGGGAGGAGGAAGAGTTGATGAAGAAGAAAGTATCCGCCCATTTTACTGACGAACTTTAAAAACTTTTTTATGATTGATAATATTTTTGAGACTCAACTACAACTTCTAATTTTGAACTAGCTACTCTATTGTTCTTGCATACACTTCTGTCCATACATGTTTATTTTCTTAGTTAGTAATTGTTTGAGTCAAATACTAATTCTTTGATCTTTGAGTGCTTATCCGACAGTGTCTTGAAGTCTTCCACTCGGAGTAGGAAGAGATGGCAGTCAGATGCAGCAAACACGTCAGCTCTTGCCCAGTGATTCTCATTCGTAAGGTTCTCTTGTCCAAAATAGTCTCCATCACTTAAGATGGTAGACAATGGTGCCAAGGAACTAGAATGAGGATCAGCAGCTGACTGACGGCCTTCTTCCAACAATTTTTCCACCTACAGCAGTAATGCACAATTGAAGTACATGTACAGTAATTTATAGTATGTCATTTTGAATATATACTCACAATTCCGTCATAAATAAAGTACAGTCCATGTCCTACGTCTCCTCTACTGATAATGATCTCACCAGCTGAGAAGTAGCAAGGTCTCAGGTGTAATGATATTTGGCAGAGCAAAGACCCACTGACAGAGTTCAGCACTGGTACCTATAGGTGTATCATAATTGCATTAAAGTCTCCAATATAAGCATGTACTGCTCTGTTCTTTACCATTTGGAGTAATTTCTGTGTTGTGGCTAGAGCAATTTCCGATTGGAGACAATAAGGAGTGTCATCAAACAGTGTCTGCCTGTCAATACCTTTGGACTCCAACCAATGGTGATTGCAGTGATGAATTACTTTACGCTCTAGTGGAACTGAGACATCAGCAGCAACAACATAATCCTATAATAATAATAACAATAATAATAATAATAACAATAATAATAATAATAATAATAATAATAATAATAATAATAATAATAATAATAATAATAATAATAATAACAGTAATAATAAATGAATGTTTCTTATTATTCCTGTACTTTGATGGAGTCCAGTTTGTTCATAAACATGACTTGTCTCTTTTTCCTATTAGCAAGCATCGAAGCAACACTCCCCAATAGAAACCCATAGAACAGTTTCCCAAATATCATTATTAAAATTGCATAAAGTTTCTCAGTGTAATTCTGTGGCACAATGTCCCCATAGCCAACAGTTGTCATTGTAGTCACTGCCCAGTATAAACTAGTGATGTAACGGGTTGTATCAGAATCAGCAGCTGTAAGATCTAGAATGATTACTATTAACTTTGTTATTATTATCATTTTATACTTATGGCTGTAGCCCAAGAGTCTTCATGACAAGAGGATGATGAGCAGCTAAGGAAGTACCAGAAACAAGCAGCAAACTGAGTTGCTAAACTTGTAAGAACAAAGAACTTCAGTGCTTGAATGAGAGCTGTCCTAAAGTGCACACAACAATTAAAGATAATTCTTCTTTCCTTTACTTTTGGTTTAGTTTCTTCTCCTGGATCAGGAATAATCTCCAAAATTTTAGCATCCTGAGAAAATGTGGTATCTTTAGATAAGTTGACATTACTGAATGAGAGCCAATGATAAGCTCAGCGAATGCAGAAAGAATATGAAATGGGAATGTTGCAATGAAGTCCAACGTAAAGCCAAAAGGAGACCTTAGGTAATGAAGGAAAGTTAACTTGAAGTCTCGAACGATCAAACCAGAAGAAGGGTCTTCATAGCCAAGATGAAACTTAATAAGTATCTAGACAAGAAGAAGATGCAACAATTATGCAGACACTAGTAAAACAGGATTGACTTAACACAATGAATGCATCATTTGCCTAATAAAAGTATGCACATGTACAAGTACCTCAATCAGAAAATATATTTCAAAGAGAAAATTGATGGTTGATAGACCAGCTGAACTACTGAAGAAGAAAATCTAAAAGAGACATGATGAAAGGATGCAGTATATAAGTACTGTACTTGATAACTGAGGCAGAATGCACTAATGTAAGCCATTGTGTAGGTGAGGATGGTAAAGAACAAAGCATGTTTTCCAATGGGGGACAGTGTAAAGGTTACACAGTTCCTTAATCCAGGCCATTTCAGAACTCCTTCAAATACTGCAGTACTTAATGAGATCCTCCTATCCTTGGATACTTCCTCTCCCCTTCCTCTCTCTTCCATTTCCTCATCCAAAGTAGTCATTACTGTATTAACTGTAGGGCGTCTCAAACTCAGCCTCCCTAATCTACCCCAAACTGAACTGCTTCGCTTACTGGATACAGCTGTCTTTTTGGCCGCCTGCAAAAGAGAAGATACTTTTAAATATAATTAGAATTATACTTACTTCAAAGATTGATTCAATAGTTTCATCTTTGGTCTTTCCTTTAGCTAACGATTCATTCACAACCATGTCAGTCAGAACTGAGAGAGTAGCTCTTTGAAGAGCAACAACTTTGATCTGATCAGCAACATCCTGATATTTATCAAGAGCTGATTCAAAATCAGATTTACTTAACACAAATAGATCACAATTACTGAGAGTCCTATGGGAAGCAATAAAATACAAATAAATATAAAAAGTAAATAATAATACAAATACAATAAAATATATAAATATTGTACCTCACTGATGCTGTTCTACTGCAATCAAAGACCAAACTTATTTCTCCAAAGAACTTTCCCTCGTCCAACACAGTCAGCCTAGTACCTTCATGACCATCATTACTAATAATCTCAACTGATCCTTGACTTATAAAATACATCTGTAAACAAACAAACAAATAAACAATTATTGTTGTTGTTGTTGTTATTGTGTGTTTACTTCATTCCCAATGTCTCCTTTTCTTATTACGTATTCTCCTTTAAGATACAGGACTGGCCTCATAGATAGAGCTAGTAGTTTAGTAAACCCAATACCAGTATTACGAAATAAAGGCACCTACAACATTCAACAATAATTACTGCAAGTACAATCCACTATTGTACTTTGTCAATAGCGTTCTTGTACAGAGCTAGTGAGACATCGCTTTGGAGTGATGGAGGCATATCCTTGAAGAGATCATGAAAATCAAGAGCTTTATTTCTCTGCCACATATACTCATAATGACTATTGGAACAATTTGTATAGTAATCCTTTCTTTCTCTATCTTACTGACTTTATTACTCTGTTCTTTAGGATGCCGTCAACTTTGTGTTCTTTCAGATATTTCTTAATCATTTCCAGTTTATCTTGATACTGAGCTCTCCCAATGTCATCATTAACCAAACTAGCAGTGAAATAGGCTACTATCAGGCCATAGAAGAGGACACCAAACACCTCAAAACATATTGCATACAAACGCTGCAAGATGAGATGATAATAATTATAAACATACAAGTACATCTACGTTGATGTACCTCAAGACTTCTATGAGGAGTAATGTCGCCATATCCAACAGAAGCAGTTGTTGCTACGGACCAGTAGAGGGAATTCATATACTGAACACTGAATGAGCTACTAACTGTAGAGGAAGAGAAGAAGGAAAGAGAGAGAGAAAAAGAGTGACCATATTATCAAAGAGTGCCTCATCATACTTAGTGATTGATTTTTGAAGATCCCGCTGTTGGCCCAGCTGCCAAGAGAGCAGCAGCTGTGGAGTGAGAGGCAAGAGCAGGAGATCATGAACCAACTGCAGCCAATCAAATGTGTACTGAGTAACAGGTAGACCAGTAATTTTATCAACCTATTTCATAATTGTAAATAATTTTGTAATTTTAAAAATAATTTTAGTGCTCCTACCAAATCATTTTTGGCATTAAATTTTTAATATCATTGAAAAAAATGACCTAAAAAATACGTGTACAGTTAATAATAAAATGAAAACTAATTACCAATCTGTGAATATGTACGAGCCTATTCAGTCTTGCTAAGCTCATTAAACTAGTTCGTGGACCTTCAAAAGAATTTAAAAAAGAAATAATAATGTGCATGAACATGAACAAGTAGCTAACTCACCAAGTCCTAAAGGAGAGAATATAGCAAATACTATGAGTTCAGTTGGTAATAAAGCAATGACATCAAGGATGAATGTTGTCCTATTATAAAATGATATAATGTAAATGATGTGCTGTACATTTAGTATGTTAATATGTACTTAATGTAATGGTTTGCTCGATCAACTTTTCCAATGACTAGGAGTCCATCTTCATCATAATAAGATGTGTGAAACTTTAGTATCCTACAATAACAGGAATACAAAAATGAATTGTGATTAATAGCCAAAGAACTTGTACATATACCAATGTACATAAATCTACATGTACATGTACATGCATGGTACATTTACGTGAATTTTGAAGTCAAAAGCTGCTACCAAAGCCCAGTACTATAATGTAGTACTAGTACATCGGCCAAATTTCATCAAAAATTGAAAGTAGAGAATTCTTCATTTTTACAATTTTTTCTCATACATATACATGTTCTTATGTTGTGTAGAAAGTTTGATCTGATTCTGATCAAAGTTGAATTTTTTATGAATTTTTAAAGTTGCTCCAAAATTGAGTCAAAGTCCCTGTACTATAGTACAGTGTCTTCGGCCAAATTTCGTCAAAAATAAAAAGTAGAAAATTCTCCATTTTTATAATTTTTTCTGATACATATACATGTTCTTATGTTGTGTAGAAAGTTTGAGCTCATTCTGATCAAATTTGAATTTTTTATGAATTTTTTAAGTTGCTTCAAAATTTAGACAAAGTCTCTATACTACATGCATAAGATAATTCTCCATTAATTCTTTTCTGATAATTACTTACATGTCAGAGATAAAGAAGATATCAAGAAAATAGTTGAGAATCCATAGAAGTGCAGCAACAACTGGAGGCAGTGAGTAGTAGAAGGAGGCTTGGAATGATACAGTAATGAATGTCACTATTGACAGAATGACTGCCGTACTGTTCCATGCTGCAGCTAAGGATTCATTTATTAGGAGGTAGCGACTGTAACAGAAAAAGAATAAAATACATGTATTTTCTTTATGTATTAAGCCTTACTCTAAAAGAAAGTGTGATAATATTTTGCCAAAAATAGTTCCACCTTGAGAATAAATACACCTCAATGGTTTACTAATAAATATAGAAACAGTGGCAATAATAGTAATAAAATAATAATGATGATAATAATATTTTTATTTTTATACCCAATAATTTTGCATCTAGCAAGGCCCACATCACAACAATTGACGTCATCTTCATAATTAAACACTTCAGTAACACTAGACTCAGTAATAGGAATATCTGTTCATCATGCAAAAGATAATCATAGACAATATAATTGCAATAATAATAATATCATTACCTTGTATACTAACTGCAGGATCATCAGACCCCTCTCTATTGGAATACCTGATAGCACTTGTACTATATTGCCTGATAGAGTCTTTCCTTTTCTTATTATTGGCACTAAGAGAGTAATCAAGTAGAGTAGGTGGTGTTAGTTGTGATTGCATTTCTCTAGGCCCAACAGAAGACAGTGCAGCATTGACTAATGGAGGTGACTGTCGAGGAGTAGCTATAGCTAGAGCAGGGACCATTGCAGCAGCAAGACCAGCAACTATTGAGTATTCTTTCTTGAATGAGTGATGAGCTACATAATCTTCTTCTTCTTCTAGTGACATTCTCTTAGTCTGTGGTGGTAGTCTTTCTATGGCGAAGGAGTGCAGTAATTGTGATAAAATATCATCATCTTTTTCCAATTCAAGAAATATCCTAAAAATAAAATAAATAACTATACGGGTACATGTAATTATTACTTTTCTAATTGAGGGAATCCTTTAAGCACTTGTCTCACATCATGGTAAGATATACTGAATACTTCACTCTGACTTGCTGATCGAACCGTCGCTGTGAGTGGTGTCCCAAAGAAGAAACCCAACTCTCCAAAATGACTGCCAGGAGAAACAGTCCGTATCACATGAGAAAGATCCTCAGAGAGGACCTTTAGATGAAAAACTTTAAAATTAAATGTATGTACATGCACATGTATCTTTTTTATAATTCTTCTCTCCCTCTCTCTCTCTCTCTCTGACCTCTATGTAGCCTTTCCTAACACAGTACAAGTTCCTAGACATGTCTCCATGATACAGAATGATATCTTCAATATTAAAGTAATGTGTTACTGATGATAGTGAGATTTGCTTCATGAAGTCTTCGTTTGATATTTCATTGAAGAACATGACTCTTGACAGCAATGGGAAACATTCCTCCATTTTTATATCTTGTTGGAGTGAGAGTGGCAATTGAGAAAGGACCGATTCAACACCAGGTATACTAGTACCTCTATAATTAATAATAATAATAATAATAATAATAATAAAAGATTATTATTATTAATTGTCATTTGTACTTTGATTTAGTCCATAGTACTGCAAAGAAGTCATTAACTCTCTCAATTAAACCTCTATTCAATTTATTGTGTTTCATAAACTCCTTAACAGCTTGTAATCTCTTCTGAAACTGAACCCTACACAAACAAACAAACAAACAAGAAAATAAATGTAAACAAATCAATACACAATGTACATGCACAAACAACATACAACATACATGTATGTACATATTATGTTTTTGGCTTTAAAATAAGCTCAAAAATACCAAAAATAATGACATTAACATTGTACATGTATATATGTGTATTTAACTATATCCATGGAGTAGTAGATGTACCTAGGTTGTAGTGTATGAGTGATGATAGCAGCAGCAGATCCTAGCATGTATCCATAGCACCAGATACCGAGTAACATGACACATATTGCTAATACCCTCTCATCATTATTGACTGGTACAATGTCACCATATCCAACTAGTGTGGTTGTAGTTGTTGACCAGTATAATGATAATATATAATTATGAATAACTGAGGAGGAGGAGTATCCAATGTTATTCTTAGTAATCCAACTGGTTGATTTACACCTATATAGTAAATTAATGGGAAAAATCTGTTACTGCTAATACTATGAATAATATTAAGATTATTTCTAAGAATATAACAAGATGGGCAGACATTACTCTATTGTATTGTACATGTAACTTAACAAGTACAAGTAGGATGTTAACTTTCAATGACATCATTATTACATATGTTATAATGATATAAATAGCATGATAGGCCGAGCTACATGCAGTAGAGTACAGTACAGTACAGTATATAGTCAACTATAGTTATACTAGTACACATAATGTAGTACTGAGCAACTTTCAATGACATCATCATTACACATGCTTAGTCAGCATATTGTTGGCTCTTTCTCTTACCAGAAGCACATGCTATAGTCTTACCTTCGTATCAGTAACTGATCACAAGCTATTGAGAACCAGGCACAAGCTGACCAGTGAGTTATCAATATGATGTACAATAAGAACTTGAGACCTCTAACCCTTGATACTGAATAATGGAGTGATTTCTCTGAACCATCAAACCAGAGAATCACCTACATGTACATGTATATATCAGAAGGAAGGTTTTGTATGTACAATGTACCTGTATCTTTTAGCTTACCTTCCATAGCTTCAGTAATCTGTTCATTTTAAAAGCTGCAGCCCAGTTTAGTTTATTAACAACAACACCAGCTGCTAGTATCTCCATTGGTACTAAAGCTGCTACATCAACCAGGAATGTAAAGGAGCTTAAATAAGCTAATGCTATTGTCACAGGGTCTCTTTCATAACCTGTAAACAACAACAATAATAACAACAATAACAACAACAATAATAACAATAACAACAATAACTGTGTTACCTACCTTTAGCAGTGATAAATGATTTCTTCAATGATATTATAATATCAATAACAAATATTAGGTCAATGAGGTATGTCAGTATAAATAGGAAACCTGGCGCATTAGAAAAACCAACTGAGTGATGGTAGCTTGAGAAACCAGCCTTGAACAGTATAATAATGTATATTATTAGTATTTTTAAAATTACTGACTTGAAATGGGTATAACCAGCAGACTGTGATAATGAATGAAAATAGAATATAATTCCAAATTAAGAGAAACTTTGATTTTGGTAATAGAGGCTTGTCAAAAATGATCCTAAAAATAGAACACCTTTAATGAATAATTACATAATTAATGACTTAAATCAATAAAATAGGGAAATTATAAAGGATGTCAACCATGTCACTAAGAAGGAGAGGCAAAAAATCAAATGAAGATCCGGTTAGCGAATCTGATGAACCTTCTTCATATTCAGATCAAAGGAAGCCATATGAAGCTTCTGACGAAGCAAATGGCGGAGGGGTTCATGAAGATATCAATGCATCATATCAACCACCACCAAATGAAAATCTTCACAATTTGGAAAATGAGGATAAGGATGAAGGTGATGTACTAAAAGCAGATGACTTAAAGGATGCAGCAAATGAAGTAAGAGATCAAAATAATGATGAGGATAAGAATGATGGTGGGCCACAACAGCCAGATCACGCATGTTTAAAAGAAGACGAAGGTGTACAGTGTCCACAGCATGAATGCTTGAGAGAAGACAAAAGCATACAGTGTGACATTCTACCAAGAAGTCCAAAATTCCCAACAACACGTGAAGTAGTTATACTAATTGTTGCAGTATTAAGCCTTTTAGGTTTGGGTATATTAATATGGCTAGCAGGTTCAGATTGGTCAAGCAATGATTGCATGGAGAGATGTAAAATGGACAAGGATGAGCTATACAACAAGACAGAAACATGCATAATAAACAGGAGAAGGGATTTATATAAATTTAACATTACAGATTATAAGCGCAATACCACAATAAAGCAACTCGAGTATCAACAAAATGAAACCCAAAAAGCTTACACGCAATGCATCAAAGATCTGGAACAAAAAAACAAAACACACAAAAGATGTGAAGAAGACAAAAAGTTGTGTATAGACACAAAAGAAATCGACATAAATCGATGCAGGGAAGACCAGAAACAATTGAAAAAAGAACATGAAAGTTGTAATGAAGGCTTTAAGTTATGTGAAACAACAAAAGAAGAATATGCAATGAGTCATGATACGTGTATAAAAGAAAAAAGGAGCCAGTATATAGAGCTGGAAAACTGTAAAACTCATTGGGATGGAATAAATAAGGCATTGATAAAGTGTCAAAGACAAACAGGTGGCTCATACAGTGCAACTAGTTCCAGTTCCGTTATAATTACTATAATATTTTCAATAATGATAATTTTTTGGATTTTTGTTTAAGGTAAGTAAAATATCAGAATTCATACGCACATACACTGGCTCTCCTCCTTATAGATTTGAATGCAACTAGACGTTCTGTGCTTGGCTGTACAATAAAAGAAAAAATTTTCCTTACCTAGATATTGTAGGAAACTTGTTTCTCATTTTTAGTATCACATAATTAAATTTTGATTGTTCTAATTCTCTTTTGTAAGACGCTCTCCTCTCTTTTTCAACATTTCCTATAATAATAATTTTAAGAGATATGAATTATTTAATTACATTCACATCCGCATTTACTTTCTGATGAAAGGTTGGTCATTATTTCATTTAATTCATTTTTATTCAGTGCCAATACATGACAGTGAGTCTTAGCAGTAACAATAACTTCATTTGAAGTATCATCAGACTCTAAACCAACAGGATCCTAAATGAAAAATTAATGATGAATATGCTTGTACAGCACAACAGCACATGTACATATCAATGCATCCATGCAGGGTACATGTACAGTATACAATCTATCTGTCATTACTTCTCCAAAAACATCTCCTGGCTTCAGTTCTTTTAATAAATGTGTTGGATCAGCTTTTTCAGCAACCTGTACATACAAGACTATAACTTCATTTATTTATACTGTACATCATTTACCTCAGCAGTTCCTTTGTGCATGAAGTAAAGGAACTGATCAGTTTCATTGACAATCATTTGATGTGGTAGGAAGAACAATTCCTTCACTTTAGAACATAAAACCCTCAGAAACACTTGAGACACTCCATGAAATAACCTGGACTAGAGAAAGAAAGAGTATAAATATAACAAGAGCTATTATTGTTCCTCCTTACAGCTATCATTGTGTCTTGATACATTTCATTTCTTGTATTATTCCTGAGTGCAAGTGGAAGCTCCTCTAATAGATCTTTACCAATAACACCTCTCCTGTAACTCCACTATAATAAACAACAACAACAACAATAAACAACAACAATAAACAGCAACAAAAACAACATATTTACATTATATTCCAAATAGTCAGTAACTCTAATAAACAATACTGAACTAATCTTTGCACTTTTCTATAAAATAAAACTAATAATAATTATTTATTACAAATTAACATGAGTTTACCATGTATCTCTCGATTGCCTGAAGTTGTTGAGTGTATCTACCTCTAGCTGCGTCAAGATTGGTCAGAGTTGAGGTCACGCCTCCAAGAATATACCCGTACATGACCACACCCCACACCATAGAAACGAGTGCAATGAACTTCTCTGATAATGAAATAGCATGAATGTCACCATAACTGATGAGAGAAGGAATTAAATATATAATGCACATGAACATTACAATGTAGACTATGGACATACCCAACTGAAGTGAGGGTGCTAATGGCCCAATAAAGTGAAACAATATACTTCTGAGTAATACTTGCACTATATACATTGATATCTACAAGAGAGAGAGAGAAATAGGAGATTGCAAACACTTATCATTATTACCTATTGCAATGCTGGAGCTATTAGCCCAGGTACCATTCAAGCAACCATTATGAAGGAGTTCAGCAGCATTATAACAAGACAGTGAGTACCAGAAGCAAGCAATAAACTGAACAGACAGACCAGATAAAGTGACATACAAGAGAGACTGAATCCAAGGGCCATATGAGATGAAATGCCTCTCACATTTAGCTATGGTATAAAAAATAAATAAAATATTAAATTTAAATTGAAACCAGCTCTTACTCAAAAATTTCCAAATCCTGTAGACCCTGAAAACTCTGTTGATCCTTATGAAAGCACCAATTGTAGGATTGAAAGCTGCTATTATCTCAAAGGGTGCAATAGTGAGGAGATCGAAGGTAAAACTAGTCTTTAAATATCGACGCAAGTAAATCGTAAAATGCTTGACATCAATTCTAGCAGCACTGTGGTCTAGTACAGGACGTGAAAGAATACCAAAGAAATAAAGGAAGTCTGTGAGGTACACTATTGATAGCCAGAATTCATGATTAGCATCAAATCCAAACAATATGCTAACTCCTGTCACTGACAATATGATGGAGAGAGTTAGAATAGACTCCCAGATCAGAAGGATAGTGGGAGCTTTAACTTTCAACAGAGGTACTAGTATCTGCGGATACATTATCTATTGCTCAAATTTCCAGAGATTCAAACCATCTCCTGTCCTTTGTTATAGGTTTGAAAGAGACAAGTATCGTTGCCATGCCATCAAGCTAGCCATGTGTTTCAGCATGGCCTAGCTCGAGCATGGCTCTTAGGCGTGGTCAAGGTGTAGGCAGAGTGTCATAGATATTATAGACTACGTAACCATGGTTACGTAGTCTATAATATCTATGGTAGTGTGGGCGTGTCGGGTATGTTTCATTTTTGAAATTTGCAGAGAATCAGATGAGTTCTAAGTTGTTCTAACATGGACCATAAAGGACAAAGAAGAAAGCATATGCTCAAAGTACTATTGCAATAGAATCTATTATACAGTGAATGCAAATGTGAATGAATTTATTGTACAGATAATTGGTAGATCTAAAACATGGCTCTCAAAAAGAATTTTTAAAGTTCCTCAAAAATTGAACCAAAACTGTCCATGGCCAAATTTTTCCAAAAATAAAAAGAAAAGATTTCTCTTTTTTATAATTTGTTTCATACGTATACATGTTCTTATGTTGTGTAGCAAGTTTGAGCAAATTCCGATAAAATCTGAGTTTTTTTATTTCTTATGTTTTGCTTAGAAAAATGAAGAGGATCAAGCTGTAACAGAGCCTCAAACAGATGAAATTAGTGATAGAAATACTGTCCAAGATCTTCCAATTAAAGATGCAGATGACAATGACACCCCACTAACGACTGATACTGATCAAATCATCACGTCTCAGTCTGGATCAGAGGACAGTGATTCAGACGACACTGATCAGGAAAGTGGTTCAGATACCGATCAAGATGCTGATAAAGATGAGTTAGATGATCCTCCACTTAAGACCAATCTTCCCAAAACAGCCAAACAACAAGATATTAAAGCAACTAATCAGCTTCGCTACCGAAACATCTCAAGCAAGAAACCCCAACATAAAGAGTATTTGGATGAATTCAGCAAAGAGTATCCAAAAGAAGAGTCTAGCAAGAAGTTTGATCCTCCTTCAACTAAGAGTACTTCATCATGTTCATGTCCATTTATTTTGGCATTGCTAATTCTAATTACTGTACTTGCTTTCTTATTGGGATTTCTTGGTGGCTCCGTCTGGTCAAGCAATAGGTGTCTGAGGTCTTGTATAGTAGAATTAAATGAACAAAGGATTGCCATGGAGGAAGAATGTAAGAACAAATGTAGCGTAGAACTAAAAGGTTCTTTGAAAGAAATGGAACTTGAAATGAGACGCTTAGAAAAGGAATTAAATGCCTCAAAAGAAAAGAATGAGAGGTTGCGTCAATCATCTAGAGAATGTACCAAAGATTATGACAAATGCAAAGATCAAAAGTCAACATGTCTTCATGATCTTTCAAAAAGCCAAGAGGATGCCAAAAGGAAGAAAGAGGATCTTGCAGCATGTCAGTTAGAGAAGGAATCATGTGACGGTGAAGTTTCTAAACTTCAGAAAGGACTCGAAAAGAAGGAAGAAGAGCTAGAACAATGCAAAGAGAAGAAGAAAAAATGTGAAGATGATCTTGAAGCATGCCTCAGAGAAACCAAGAAGAAGGAGAAGGAATGCGATGACGGTAAGAAAGAATGTGATGAAAGCCAAGAGGATGCCAAAAGGAAGAAAGAGGATCTTGCAGCATGTCAGTTAGAGAAGGAATCATGTGACGGTGAAGTTTCTAAACTTCAGAAAGGACTCGAAAAGAAGGAAGAAGAGCTAGAACAATGCAAAGAGAAGAAGAAAAAATGTGAAGATGATCTTGAAGCATGCCTCAGAGAAACCAAGAAGAAGGAGAAGGAATGCGATGAGAGTAAGAAAGAATGTGATGATAAACTTTCAATTTGTCTTGTAGAAGTTGGAACAATAAAAGCGAAACTGGATACACACGAGAAAAAGATAGAATTGGAAAAGAGAGAATTGGAAAAGAGAGAATTGGAAAAGAGAGAATTGGAAAAGAGAGAATTGGAAAAGAGAGAATTGGAAAAGAGAGAATCTAAAAAAATGGCCCTCGCCCGCCTTAGATTACCGATAGAAAAGTAGTAACTTTAGTTGCTATACTAAGAGTTGAAAAGGATTCCTTGTACACAACAATAGATCTAGTGATAATTTTAATAATAGACTAATTGTAATGATTGTAATTGTAATTGTAATGAATATGTGGGGCGAGCCTGAGCTCGCCCCACATAAACGACACGAGTATGTTTGTTTGTACACGTACGTCACCCCTATTTATCCGTATGAAAAAAATTTCACTTTTTAATAAACTTGATAATCTTCATTGAAAACGGGTGTGGTCACAATGAAATTATTATTATTATTATTATTATTATTATTAAATAACTTTCCAGCACTGACAGAATAAATAGAACAAGATAAAAAGCAGGAAATTCAAGTTGGTGAAGTTTAGTACTGGTGGTCAACCTGGGACATGCCCAGGCTGCCAGCATAAAAATAGAAAGTAGTTACAATAAAATAATAGAATTTAAATTAGTTACTAAAATTAGGGGTAGGAGGAGAGACGAAACATCGGGAGCAGGGGCAATGGAGATGAAAAGAGCACGGATTTGTTGGGTCAAAATTCTGATTAAAATACGACCAGTAAAATTTTTTAATAGATTTGATTGCTTTAGTTAAGGGTATTTCTGGATCGAATGAAGGTAGCATATTCCATAATCTTGGCAAACGATTGAAGTAAAAATGTCTTGTTAAGTTATTGGAAGACTGATTGTGTTGTAGTTTAAATTTAGTAGACGAACGGGTACCAGAAGTGGAGAAGGTGACATAATTCATAATATTGAAAGAAGAGTGAGAGGGGGAGTGGAG